TTTCTGTTTTTTTTTTTTTTTTGAGATTCGGCGGTCCGAAATTGGTTTCGAAAATGAACCCGCCATTGTTTAAGATTTGCTAGGACTCCCTCTCCTTACGGCGCGTGTACTCACGCATCCATGCCATGCAACTTCATTTTTTAATACTTAATAATATTACATGCCAAAATTGCTCTTTTTCTCTAGATTTTCCCCTTTCCTAAGGAACTTTTTTTAATTCATGGGTTCTTAGGGTGTCACATCGGATCTCTCGATAGAGATTGTGTCATGTCTCTAGCTAATTGTCCAACAAGTAGAGGTAGAAAGATGATCCCCGTCCCATAAGACTTTTAATAGTTATTATAAAAATGTAAGATTCATGTCAAGTTTGATCGATCTAGTCTTCATACTATTTAAGGTGCGAGTTTGGAAAAACATAAAAAAATTAAAAATTTGATTGAAGGGGCGGCAGAAGAAGATTGACACTTTGAACAAACTTTTCATTGAGAAAATAGTCGTTCAATTAAATTAAAAAATTAATAATAAAAGGTGTGACTTATAAAAAGGAACACGGCCATGAGTAAATTTGAGTTTAACACGGTAACAATTATATCATTAAAGAATTAATGAAGATGGTTATTGCATTTTTGCTAGGGTTTGAGGTTAAGTTTCAATAATTTCATAAGTTATTTTACTTTTTATACAAAATATTTAGTCACCCAGTCAACAGCACCAGTGGTCTAGTGGTACAATAGTACCCTGCCACGGTACAGACCCGGGTTCGATTCCCGGCTGGTGCAGTTTATTTTCTTTTGCGCTAGATGTAAACAGCAATAAAAATATAAAATATCAGCTTATAAGTGGACAGCACAACTTATAGTCACAGTGAAAGAAAAATAATAGTAACAAAGTCTGTAAACAAGCTTCCAAATAATGAATAAAAAGAGTCTACATTTTATTTATATTAATCAAACATCAGCAGATACTTCATCTAGAATTCCCATATTCACAAATACAACTTGCAGATGAAACGCTGCAGTGATGAAATCATAACCCTTTTACCAAATTACAAGCCATTCCACTCTTATCAAGCTAAAAACCACCACTTCACTTTGGAGGACGAGTAAGGCTGTGTTTGGCACTTTTGAGCTTTGACACAGCATCGTGGATGTCAATGCGGTTCACTGGAGTATTCACTGTGCATGACAGTGCTACTCCAATTACTTCGGTCAAACAATCTTTTTGCATTTCTGAACTGATGGTTCTACCTTCATACTCCAAATCCACACTCACTTCTGTCAGCTCATCATCAATCACTTCCATTATGTGTTCGGGGAAACATGAATCCACCCATTTTATCAAATTCAATTCTCCTGTGAAATATTCATCTGTTGGCCTCTTTCCTGTAAAAAGCTCCAGCAATGTTACTCCAAAACTGTACACATCTCCGGCTGTTGTTGGCTTCATTCCATACCCGTACTCTACAATATCAAAATTACAACTTTTAAAAGTTTAGTTCTTCAAAAGTGGTTGATGAAAGCAAGAAAGTCTGTTCTGATATGACAGATGATGTACAAACCTGGAGGAAGATAACCAATTGAACCTTTTAGGACGTGTGTGGAAGTGATGGAAGATTGAGTGTTTGCACTTTCCATCAGCAACCGAGCCAATCCAAAATCTCCTACCTTTGCTGTCATGTCTGCATCTAGAAGGATGTTGCTAGGCTTTAAATCACAGTGAACTATAGGAAGTTCACAATCGTGGTGCAAGTAATTTATTGCTGAACCAACGTCGATGGCAATGTCTACTCGCTCAAGGACATTCAGCCCAAGTCCACGTTCATGGCTTATTTGGCCATGAACCCACTCATCCAAGCTTCCATTGCTCAAAAGTTCATAAATCAAAGCTCGAAATTCCATGTTTGAGAAGTCTATGCTAGAGCAGGTGGTGATGAGTTTAACGAGATTTCGATGTCTCACATTCCGCAAAGCTTCACACTCAGCCTTAAAGCTCCTTATAGAACCAGTCCTGATAACGTCAAGAACCTTAATAGCCACGGGGACATCTTGCTTTAAAATGCCCTTGTATACAGACCCAAAGCTCCCTTTTCCAATCAAGTGTTGCTCGCTGAAATTCTCTGTTGCCAAACGCAGCTCATCGTAAGACACCATTTCATGTTGACCCTTGACAAACTCCGTGGATGGTGCAGTCTTTGACTTCTTCCTCATGAAATGGATCAGCGTACCAATGATAAAGCTCAGTGCCAACGTTGAAAAAGCAACTGTGAAGATTATAACTTTGACTACTCTGTCGTGTTTAGACTCGCTCCCTGGACATGAGGAATACAAGCAAAGTTTTGAGTTTCCTTGTAAACCGACATTGGCCCTGTTCTTAAAGATTCCCTCTTGAGGAACTTCTCCCTCAAGGTCATTAAAAGAGAGATTCAGGTACTGAAGAGCTAATAGATATTGAAGATTATCAGGGATGGGACCAGAGAGATGATTTGAAGAGAGGTCAATAACTTTGATGGCTCTAAGTTCTCCAAGACTACTGGGGATGTGGCCTGATAACTTATTTCTGGCCATAAACAATTCCTCTATGCTCCCCCAGCCTTTGATCGACGAAGGAATCTCTCCAGATATGAGATTGTTGGAGAGATCAATCTGAAAGAGATTTGAAAGGGACCCAATTTCCTCCGGCAGAGGACCACTAAGGAGATTGTTGGACATATTCAATTTAGTAGTGGCAGGGAGATTCAGGGCTTCTTTGGGTATGCTTCCATTTAGCTTATTGTTGGATAAATCCATCGCGAGAAGCTTCTGGAAGTTTCTGAAAGAGGTGGGAATGCCACCAATTAACTCATTTCCAGATAAATCAAGATTGTTCAACTTTTGAAGATTTCCCAAGGAGCTTGGAATCCAACCTGAGAACCGATTTTTGGCCAAAACAAGGCTTTGGAGGTTCTCCAATTGGCCAATCTCATATGGGATTTCGCCTGATAATGAATTGTAGCTGAAATTCAGCAAAGCCAAGCCATTTAAATTCCCAATCGTGGGAGGTATACTCCCAGAGAGACGATTGTCTCCCATGAACAATATGGAAAGTGATTTAGAAAGATTCCCAATGGAGTCTGGAATTTGACCTTCAAAATTGTTGCCATCAATGGCAAGAAACGAAAGGTGGGGACTTTTTGTCAAGGAAGTGATGAAATTAATCCCATCATTGCCGGAGGTGAGGTTATTGTACCCAATATTATACATAGTAAGGTTGTGAAGATTCTCCAAACCTGGTGGGACTGTCCCTTCAAGAAAATTGTAGGCAAAACGGATGACTTGAATATTAGTGATGTTATGCAAGGAAGGAGGAATTGTTCCTGTAAATTCATTGAAACAGAAATTGAAAACTAAAAGATTGGGGAGCGTATGGCCGACATCCCTCGGAAATGTTCCCCATAGTCTGTTGGAAGCCAAGGCCAGAGTGACTAAAGAAGACATGTTGAATATGGCAGGGGGGACTGTGCCGGTGAGATTGTTAATGGTGATGATAAGATCCTTAAGATTTTGGAGACGACTCAGCTCGGTTGGAATTGGGCCAGTAAGAGAATTGGTACCAAAATTTATGGTGACAAGAGAAGAAAGATTGCCAAATGAAGGTGGGATTTCGCCAAAAAGATGATTCCGTGCCAGATTCAAGACTTTGAGGTTGGTTAAGAGACTGAGCTCATGAGGAAGAGTGGATAGTATGTTATTGGAGGTTAAGTCGAGGGTCTCGAGTGCAGCCATGGCACTGATGTTGGAGGGGAATCCACCTTGAAGGGCGTTGAAGCTCATGTTGAGGAGATTGATGCGAAAAAGGTTAGAAATTTGATGTGGAATAGGTCCTGTTAAGAGGTTGTTTTGAAGCTCAAGGGAATGGAGGAAAGTGAGGTTGCCAATATGAGGATCTAAGGAGCCTGAAAGCTGCAAGCCTGAAAGATCAAGGGCAACAACTCTGTTGCCATCTTTGTTGCAGCTGACACGAGTCCAGTTGCAGGGGGAAGAGTTTGAGTTATCCCAAGAAGAGACAGGATTTGACGGCTGCAGATTAATAAATCCAGACTTTATTGAAATCAATGCCTGTTTGTCTGTTTCAATGCTCAAACTGGCTGATCCAACCAAGGAAAATGAGGCTGTGAAAGCTAAAGCTGCAACAAACATGGCAAGCTTAACAGCAGGGGTTTGAGTTCCCATGGCGCTAACCTCTTACTATTGGTTGTGAATTTGAAGGAGGATGAAGGAAGCTCGCTATTTATATTAATACTGTTAGGAATCACGACTCTCCACAATGGTATGATATTGTCCACTTTGAGCATAAGCTCTCATGGCTTTGCTTTGGGCTTCCCCAAAAGGCCTCATACCAATGAAGATAATATTCCTCACTTATAAACCCATGATCTTCCACTAAATTAACCAATGTGGGACACTCCCAATCCCAATAATCCTCAACAAATACAACCTCGTGCATTGCAGAAAATAATTGTCAAACAAATTTTGTCGCCTTATGTGAACAAATTAATGTGTAAATGTCAATCCATTGCCACATAATGAAGATAATCCTAGAATAATGGAAAATCATTGAAAAATAATAATATAAAAGAAATGATAGAAATTTAGTATAGGTATAGAAAATGCAACGACGGTCCAATGTATTTAAGCTATGAAAAAGACATTGAAACGTCAATCCAGCCCACTGTCACAAACAAAGTCAAACGTATGAGGTTTGAAATGGAAGGCATATAAGTTCATGATAAATTGTTTATATAAGTTGCCATTTTACTCCATTAATAAGATATTAATCACAATATTTAATAATTTTGTAGTATATAACTGAATGAATAAAACATCTATATTCTTTATTGAAGAAGTTAAAAGATTAAATTTCTTTTACTATCCAAGTCCCATTTCTTCTTTATTCAAACCCAAAAAAAAAAAACGTACAAAATGGCAAAGAACGTCCACCGACTTCAACCTTAATTCGCCTCTAAACTGTATCTTACTAGTACCATTTGTGACAACTCATGCTTAGGATAAGATCAGGATCAGGATCGATAAGAGTAAAAACTATTTCCACGAATCAACATGAATCATTGCAGCATGTTTTGACCTCAATCACACTTATTATAGGCAAATTTTTAGAAGGTCACACAATATAGAATTGCTCATAGCAAAACACACTTAACTTTGGAGTTAATACGATTAAGCAACCAAAGACTAAGGTACACATCGTTCGACTTTCAATTCTTAAAGTTTTTTTTAATCATCTTATTACGAGGGTTGTTCTCACTATATATATATACATACATTTTACTCAAGCGTCACATATTTATTTTTAATAAATAAAAAAGAGATCGAGGAAGAAAGAAGATGGGAAATCCATTGAAATTTAATTAAAATTTTGATTATTGCATCTTTCTAAATTACATTAATCAAAATTCTTATATATATGTAAAAAAAAATTATATATTAAAATTTAAAAATAAAAATTTAATAGATGGTTAATTAATTTAGTTATGAAAGTTTAGATAATACACCCATAATTTATAAAGTTTAGGTAAAAATTAATTGTTTTTTCTCTTATGCAACATTATTTTAAAAGGCATTTATTTGGTGGATTCGTTTTGGATGACATGCACGTACACGGGGAATGCTATCAGGAGGTGGTACAGACACTTCGTCAGCATCAATGGAATGGGCACTTTCACTACTACTCAACAACCCTCACTCCCTCCTGAAACACCAGGCAGAAACCGACGCCCACCTCGGTCCCAATAGACTCGTTCAAGACTCCCACCTTACCAACCCTACCCTACCCCCCTCCCTCCTAAAACACACGTTCTGCATTTACCCAGTCGCCCCATAGCTACTTGACCGGGTCGTCGGTGCCTTCCACGTGCCTCGCGGCACAATGTTGCTTGTAAACAACTGGGCCATTCAAAACAATGCCGAGCCTTATCCGAAGTCGGTGGTGTTTAGGCCAGAGAGATTCAATTTAGGGGAAGTGGAGGGGCTGGCCCGGCATGGGCCTGGCGACGCGGATGGTGGGGCTGACTTTGGGGTATTTGATTCAGTGCTTTGAATGGGGGAGGAGATGGTGGGGGTGACTTTGTTGTGTTTGATTCTATTTAATCATCATCTATTTCAGAATATTATTGAAATTTTTGTAATTTAAAAATATTTTTGAGTGACAAATTACAAAGTGGACAGAGTATCTTTATTAGTTTCTTTAGTAACAATAGTATGAATGTTGTTGTCTGATAGGTGGAGGGTGAGGTGGGATACTGCATTAAAGTTTGAGAAATTAATTGCAGGCAGAAAAAAGTAAGTGAGGGTGCACATCGTCCACTGCACGTGACAAGATCGTCCCAAATAAAACAACTCAATCTTCACTAAATAGAAAAGAGTTGAGAGAAGATATAGCTGAAACAGAGGTTTTAAGTTTAATAGGTAGATCAACTCATAACAGTCCATGCAAAGTGAAGAGGCAATGAGATTGTACAACACAAACACACAGCTTAGGCAGCAGATGGCAGTAGAGGGTGGATTTTAAGGACACTTGGACTTCCCCTTGGAGTTCTTAATCCGCCCATAGCAAGGGCACTCATGCTTGTTCCCATAAGTCCCAGACGGCACACACCCGCATTTCTCGCAGCATATCCCGCAGTACTTCAGGCACCGATCCTGCACCCCTGCTTTTGCACATCTACTTGCGCATTTCGAACTGCAAACACCTTTCACCCACAAAAAACAAACAAACAAACACTTGTCTCATATTCTTACAACGGCATGATATCGTTCTGTTCCAAAGAGTTTAATTTGTTACCTGGGGCAGCCAGGGAGAGCTGGAGGAAGGAGGTGAGAACGAGAATCCATGAAAGAAGATGAAGGAACTTCATTTTCCCGGGAAACAAACAGAGTGTGAGGAAATGCAGAGAAAGTTGTGGGATTTTGGGGGTGGTTTTGAAGGGGTATTTAAAGCGGAATTTGTTGGTTTCAAGGGGTGGAATTATTAAATGAAAGTGAAAACCACCAGCACATTCCAGACTGTCAAAAACCTTTTTTTTTTTTTCCCTTCACAGCAGTAAGATTCCTTCTACCATTTTAGGTTGTGGTGTTTTGTAGTACGTTCTTAGGAGTTTCGACTTCTACGTGGAAATAATTGCTATGGAGACCGACCAATCCTGGTTTGACATCTATTCAGTCAGCACAGTTTTGTGATGTGGACGCCTATGTGGCTTCCTTTCATTGCACCGTCGCCTTCACTTTCCACTACAGTGTCGAACAAACTCATTCTTGTGTTTTGAAAAATGGGAACATGATCCAGAAGATTCCCCTGTTTGACCCAGTAAAAGTAGTTTTAACATAGAGTTTGGGTTTTTAATGTAAAACCACGAAACGAGCTTGCAATGGGGTATGCGTTGAATCTATTACACGGTATAATAGCATCCCTTTGTGTCCCTTTGTGGGTTCAACAGCTCTAATTGTGCAAGCTAGATTTCTTTCTAAATTAGACAAGATCAAGCAACATTTTTTCCTCTTCAACGTCAATTCTCATAGCCATTATCAGTTTTGATTCGATATGTTATTGTCAGTCTTATGATTTTTTAGTGATAAATTTTCATACCCTAAAAAGAAATGTTTTGAGCGGTGCATTTCAAAAACTAAAATTTGAAAAAATTGAGAAATGATGACCTGAAAGTTGAGTTCCGTGTGTGATTCCGGAAGGTTGAAAAAGAATGGAAGTGAGAAGGAAGGCGGTGGGGGCTGTGCTCCTTCCTCCGTGTGGCTACAAAAAAGGGCATCCATGGGGTGAAGCTTCTGGAGGAAAAGGATGTTTCTTTCTTTAACTGCCTTTATTATCCTTTTTCGTTGTATTCTTCAAAAAGAAAATAAAGTTCAAATCAAGAATGAAAACGACAACGCTTAGTTGGCCTTTCATTCCATTTTAAATTTAAATTTTAGAGTAGAGTAAAATTCAACTGATATATGTTGAGATAGAATATGATATATATAGAGAGAGTTGAGTACATAAATAAAAGTGGAAAGATTACATAGACAGTAAGCAACAGCAATATCTCAACATATTCAATGCGTATGATTCTCGCTGCCACATCCTTCAACTTACATAACACTTCTTCATTCAATTCCATTAACAAATTTAAGCTTTAGTAAAAATTTGAAATGAAAACAAAAAGAGATTTTGAAACTTAAAAACAAAAGGAAAATCAAACTCAAACTGAAATGTAATCAAAATTAGATTGAAAAACTAGGGACTAAAGTGATATTTTTTTCGCAAAAAAAAAAAAAATATATATATATATAGAAATCAACATTATTACCATTAAAAAAAAAAAAAAACATAAACTTTTGGCGCATGCTTACCGCCGTTGATCATTGAACCGTAGACTTTACAGACCTCCTCGTTGCGAATTGCGATTCCTCTGAGTTCTCCTCGCCGATCTTATTTTAAAAAAAAAAGAGGCGACGGCGATTATCCCGGCGGACGGCGCCTTTTTGCAGAAGATAAGATTTCGCCGTCACATTTCTGTTTGAGTGTGGTAAGAGAGAGTGTTCATCTGGTCTTGTCGTGTCGTAACAGCTCCACTCCCAACCAACTAAAATCCGTCTTTGTTAAAATTCCCCGGTAAAATAACGTGCATTGCACGTGAGGGGTGACAAGTATTATAATTAATTCGATAGAAAAAGGAAGAACAGAAGGGCAGTGAAAATAACGGCTTAAGATGGGGAGCCCATCAGTTTCCGCGGCAAACTTGAAAGGCCAGATCTTTATCGGAAAAGAAGAAGAAAAAAACACATGATTTGTAGAGCTTTTTGAGCGAGGAAATTGTATTAGAAGAAAAAAAAAGGAAAATCCTTTGTGTTTAGTTTGGCGTTTCCTTCTTCCAAACGGCATCCTTTTATCTTCTCTTTTCTCTTCTTTATTTTCTTTATTTTTCGGTTTGGTCTCAATCTTTCTTACGCTTATGCTTCTTCTTTGCTTGCTTTTTAGCGAGCTTTGTTCTCACTGTCCCAGACTCCTCTGCTCTGCCACTCCCTTCTTTCTTTACTCCCTCTTTCTTTAACCCAAAACCCACCAATTTTTCTCCTCTCCTCTTACTGTCCTTTCGGTAATGGACAGGAAACAAGGGTTTTTCTCCTCCCTTAAAGACGACGTTGTCAGAGGCCTTTCTCCGGGCAAATCAAGAGCCAAAAGCCCAGTGCGGAGTACCTCTCCGGCCACCAGTTTGAGGCGCCGTAGGAAGGGCGGCCACCGCCTCTCCCGCCGTGAACTGTTGATTGGGAGATCCGGGAGCTTGAGGTCGGTGGAGGCATTGTCGCCCTTGAAGGAAGGCCCCGATGATACCGACGGTGAGGATTCCAAAATGGAAGGCAGATGGGCGCAATGGATGAAGGGGCAGCTCTGTAGAGCTCCTTCTGTTTCCTGCTCTGCCTATAAACGCTCCGATCTGCGGCTTTTGCTTGGCGTTTTGGGCGCCCCGCTTGCCCCTGTTCATGTCTCCTCTTCGGACCCTCTGCCTCATCTCAGCATTAAAGATACCCCCATTGTCAGCCTTTTTTTCTTTTTCTCTTCCATTTCTTTTGTTTTAAATCATTGCCAATTTGTTTTCTTCTCGAGACCCAATTCTTGATATCATCTAGCTATTATAGTCCCGGGGGGGGTCTGGGGAAGGGAATAAAATAATGGCTTGGCTTGGTTGATGTTGGTGGGATTCTTTGGTGTACATGTCTTGCTGCTGGTTTTTCTGGCAAAGGGATCGGATTCAATGCGTTCTTTTAATTGCAAAATATTTGGATGATTCGGCGGGGGAAAGCTAGTTTAGATTGATCAATTCCATGTTTACTTGTGTTACGGATTGTTCTTTTTAATTTGCTATAAGATTTTCTGTCTCGATGATGGTTGGATTTAGGATTTTATTACACTGAACTATAATCAATTGTTCTTTTTAATTGTTGAATGTTGATTCTTGGAGTTCATTGTTTGTCTCAATGACATAAACTTTCTGAATAGCATGGTTGGATGAATTCGCTTTCAGGAGACATCATCTGCACAGTATATATTACAGCAGTACACGGCTGCTTCCGGAGGCCAGAAGCTTCAAAACTCTATTCAAAATGCTTATGCCATGGGGAAGGTGAGAATGGTAGCTTCTGAATTTGAAACTGCTAACAGAGTTATCAGGAGCCGAAACTCCTCCAAAGATGCCGAGTCGGGTGGGTTTGTCCTGTGGCAGATGAATCCAGACATGTGGTATGTAGAGCTCGCGCTTGGTGGCAGCAAGGTTCATGCTGGTTGCAATGGGAGGCTTGTATGGAGGCACACGCCATGGCTCGGTGCACATTGTGCTAAAGGGCCTGTTAGACCTTTACGCCGTGCACTTCAGGTGAAGCCACAGAACGGCCATTTTCAGTCTATCTTCTCATTATCTCTGCCCTGACACGGTATTCGATCATTTTGCTCAAGTTGCTCCATTTTTCAGGGACTTGATCCTAAAACAACTGCAAGCATGTTTACCAATGCCAGATGCACTGGGGAGAAGAAGATTAACGATGAGGATTGCTTCATCCTCAAACTCTGTGCAGATCCTGTAACGTTGAAGGCCAGGAGCGAAGGGCCAGCAGAGATTATAAGACATGTTTTATTCGGTTATTTCAGCCAGAAAACTGGCCTCCTTGTGCACTTGGAAGACTCTCACTTGACCCGCATCCAAAACAATGGAGGGGATGCAGTTTACTGGGAGACCACAATCAATTCATTCCTCGACGATTACCGACCCGTCGAGGGGATTATGATTGCTCACTCGGGACGCTCAGTGGTAACCCTTTTCAGATTTGGAGATACTGCTATGAGCCACACCAAGACCAGGATGGAAGAAGCATGGACAATTGAAGAAGTAGCATTCAATGTCCCTGGTTTATCTGTAGATTGTTTCATTCCTCCTGCAGAACTAAGATTTGGCTCCATGAGTGAAACTTGTGAGCTCCCTCAGGATCAGATCATAGACACTGCTGTTGCAGCACAAGCATTTCATGCTAAAGTCGCCGCCCTCGACAAGTTAGACGACAGTAATGTAATCTGGAATACAGATGCGTAAGGCGAAGACGCGAGGAGGGCTCGACTGGACGTATTTTAGCAAGTTATTGTACTGATATAGCAAGCATAGGTGCATAGAAGTCCTGGAGATAATAGAGCATTATCATTCATAAAATTTTCCCCTGTTCCTTAGTAAATTGTCAATACGAAATTTCCTGCAAAGTCGGATCACTCTCTCCTTATAATCATTAAGGTTTGTCTTTCTTACCAACTGCAATCAAATGTGATCTGAGCAGTGTTTAGCTAATAAACTGAAGTTTGGAACGTAAGTTTGAGATTATTCAAACTTCATGAAATCTACCTTTTGTGTTGAACACTAATCTTAAAAGACCAGAAACCTTCAAATCAAACATAAATTACAAAGATGTTTATTAAGACACATCATGCAGACTGAACAATGTGTAATCTCATGAACCGTTGACCAGCATCTTGTGCTTGATCTCACAAGGCATCCAAAGTCAGCTTTGGATGCACTTGGTTGCATGATTGCTTAGTGTTGTATTCCCATCAAAACAATGATGAATTGATTCAATCTGGTGTTGCCATTATTGGGAGGTCTGAATTGAATTAGGGATTAGAAGGGGAAAAGGCAATAAAAGTAGTTATGGGTTTGATTGATGGGTTTGAAGAGGAAATGAGAAGGCATTATTGTGGTTAAACCATGCACTGTGGTGGTACGTAGATGTAAAATAATGGAGGCCCATGTTGGTTTCCTTTTTCCTTTTCCACGCTAACTTCAATTGTGTCGGATCCATAACTTAATGTGGGTTTGAATCTTAGTACAGATAAAGGGCAGGATGATTTCAAACGCTAAGGTACCTATTATTATTATAATGAGAAGACTAATGCCACCGACTCATTATTAAAACGCCCCTCCTTCCTTCCTTCCTTGCTTTTTCTCCTTGCTTTTTCTGGTATCATTGCATCTTTAGTGTCAGTCTCACTCACAAATTTAATTCCAAGTCTTAGCCCAATTCTTGCCACACCTAACCTAATCAACCCAACTCAACTCACATGATCAGACTTAAGAGTTCAATCAGAGTTGAGGTGTGGTGTATGCCCCAATAATTTAGTCAAGGACAGAGGAAAACACTGAGAAACATGAGGTGAAAGGGAAGAAGTTGAATAATGGTGGGACAGGTTCCTGAATTTTGGGCCAAGCTCTGAGTTCCGTCTTCGGCCACTGAATAAGCAAGCCCATGGGTGGAAGTGGAGGAAGCATTAAAAGAAGAAAAAAGAAAGATCTCCATCAATCAAGTGGGTAAAGTGGCCGGAAGCGCCAAGGGAAGGAAGGACCACAAACAAAATGATACATTTTTATTCACAGTTGAGCATGTTTCCAGCTGCGAAATCATAGTTTCAGTCTTCCCTCCAATTACCAACTGAATCCCCTGACGTTTGTGTCAGCTTCTTCGCACGAGACCCACCTTTTACTGACTCACTCAACATAAAATATGAACATCATTCTTCAGACCCTTCACTCCTTTTCTACCCCAAACCTTTCTGCAAAAGTTTCACATATGAAGGATCTATGCCTATGGGATATTTTATGTATAAATTAAACCCCAAATGGGCTCGTGCCTTTATTAATTCCAAGTATAGTAGTGAATCTGTGGTCCCTTTCCTTCTTTTCTGCAGAGGGATCCATCCAACCGGTGGACTGCACATTTTTGTACTTCATATCGAATATTTTTGGTCATTTATTTTATTATTTATGACAAATCTGCTTCTGCACATTATTTGGCCATGCCATTTCCCAACTGGGAGCCCATTCTTCTGTGTATATCTTCAAATCTTTTCGAATGTTGTTTGAACTTCGAAGATAGGGGCAGCTAGCTGCCTACCTGGTTAGCTCCAGATGTTTTTCAGACAATATGATGACAAATTTTACTAGGGAATCTCAAACTTTTGTTTTTCCTGCCTAATTCAATCTCCATCGAAATCTGAACTACGAGATTTATTAGTAAGAAATACATCTCTATTGGATCTTTTGGTGAAACCACGAACAAAACCACTAGACTAAAACTTATGCTTAGCGTGGACACTATCATACAATTGTGGAGATTCGTAGTTTCTAACATAATCTTCATCTTCCTCTTCATCGTACGCTAACAGAGAGTACTGGACTGGACCACCAGGTTAGCTGCTTTCTGACGTGGGAAGCACTTGCCCACCCATCTCACCCTTTTTTTTCTTAGTTTCATCGAAAAACTCTCTAATATGAATGTGTGGGTATATACGAAGAATCCAAAGTTCTATCTTTTTTGTCTTCTTCATGTTGATTTTGTAAGAGAAGTTACGGTGGTTGATATGGGAACTCGAGACCTGTAAACAATATGAGTTCAATCATAGAAACTCGAGCTTCCATGCGCCGCGTTGCTCTCCCTCATTCAAAAATCAAACCCTCCCTCCCCCTTCCTTTTATCCATTTTCATGATCTATCAAACCCTAAAGCCACACCCTTTCTTTCAAAACCCTAAATTCTTCAGCACAAAATGAAAAAGAACACAAACCCCATTGCCATTGCCACCTCCACTAAGCGCTCAAAGATGAGGTCGTGCACCAATTCCCTTTGTTTCTTCTGTCTAATGAAGGAGACCCATGTTCCAACAAGAAGAGCTGGAATGAAGCAATGTTTGAGTGAGTTACCTTATAGTGACGACCATGACCATGTCCTTGTCCTAAGTGCACTTTGGCACATAGCCATGGCTCAACCAAATGACAAAGAGTATCCCTCTCTTGGTGTGTTTGAATGCATGGGAAGTTTGATCCAAAGGGGCCTCAAGGACAAGGATTGGGTTCTTAGGGACCAAAACATTTACATCCCCTATTATGCAGCTCATGTTATTGGATCTTACACCATGCACAAGGCTGAGTTTGCAGAGAAAGCAGTGGAATCAGGAGTGATTCCACCATTGATGGAGCTTTTGAGAGGGAAAATGAGCTGGGTTGAACAAAGGGTCAGTGTTAGAGCACTTGGTCACCTTGCTAGCTACAACTCAACTTTTGAAGCTCTTATTGAATACCAAGAAGAAATTGTCAAATCAGCCATGGAGATTGCATCCTCCTGCCTTGATTTAGTGTATGAAAAATTTGTAGGATCAAGTGAAGAAAATAGAGAGAAATACCACAGAGATTTGCTCACAAGAGGTGTTGGTGGGAGAGAAATTGAGGATAGAAAGGCAGAGGAATGGGCTAGCCAACTTCAATGTTGGTGTCTTCATTTGGTCAAATGTTTTGCTTCCAAGGGGATGTGCTTGAATCTCATTTGCAACAACAACCCAATTTTCTTGAGGGATTTGTGTGGAATGTGGGGTGGATTGTCAAATTACACCTCAACTGGTGGAGTTGGGCTCATAAGAATCTTGAGTTACAATAAATTTTCAAGGAAGTTCATTGCTGAATCCACACAAATAATTGAGACCCTCTGCAATTTGTGTAGATCTTCAGATGACTGGCAATACATTGGCATTGAATGTCTTTTGCTCCTTCTCAAAGACCCACAAACCAGGTACAAAGTCATTGAAATTGCTGCGTTTTATCTCGTAGATTTGGTGGAAATTAGAAGGCTTGGAGATAGAACAAACATTAATCTAGGTGAAGCCATCACACAAGCCCTCCTATCAGATTACAACCAAATGGAAACACAATTCCTCAAGAACAATCAAAATCTCCAAAGGGTTCTAAGAGAAGTATGGGTTCTGAAAGTGGAGAGGAAAAGGAAAGAGAAATTGTTATGTGAGGAGAGGCTTGAAGAGAAGAGGGCATTGGTGAATCTCATAAAACAAGCAGCCAATGAACTGTTTCGACTGGGGGAAATAGAGGCCGCTATGAGAAAATACAAAGAAGCCTTAGATTTGTGTCCGTTGAAGTTTAGAAAGGAAAGAATGGTGCTTCACAGTAACAAATCACAATGCCATTTGCTGTTAAGGGATCCGGATGCAGCCATCAGTGACTCAACTCGAGCTTTGTGTTACTCAAATCCAACAAATTCTCACGGTAAAAGCTTGTGGAGAAGATCGCAGGCTTATGACATGAAAGGGTTGGCAAAAGAGAGCTTGATGGACTGCATAATGTTTGTGAATGGTGGAATGAAGATGGAGGCCGGCAATGGAACGGGTGAGAGTAAGAGAATCAAGATCCCATATCATGCAGCTAGAATGATTAGCAAGCAGATGGAGGCAGCATGGCTTTTTGCACCAGCTAGATTAAAGAAATTGGCTTCAAGTCAAGAGAAAAAAGCTGAAGATTCTTCCAACAACAGCCGTGAGGGCCATGGAATTACCATCAGAACCATGACTATATAAACAAATCGTATCTGGTACGCAACTAGTTTTATATTTAGTGGCCAACTTTCATTAAACAAATTTTGGAGTAATCAACATGGGTTTGTAAACTTCATGTTTAACATTTTGTAATGATGATCTTATGGGAATTAACCTAACAAAAAGCCTCAACTCTGAGAACCATCAACATTTTCTTCTCCAAAATGTCACTAGATTTTGAGGAAATCAAATAATATTTCTACTTTTTGAGTATAATAATACTGATATCTACAGGTTTGTAAGATGAAAGTTGTTCCTTTAGTACAAAAGACGTTAAGAAGTTCATAGAATTTTGAATTGATTATGAACCTATTAGATAGTTTAGAGATATATTAAAAACTTTTAAAAATTCAAAATCATTTGTGGTGCTATATTCTAAATAAAATATCATTGGCCCAGTATAACTCTCAAAATTGGTACTTTTTATCATTTAAGGTTACAAAAATAAAATAAGTGGGCATCCAGAAAGGACCCATTTTTGTCACTGGGGAAAGTACTACACGGAATAAACTCTTCATCAGCTAAATAAATTTTGGTAAACAACAGTGACTCGAGTATCTCAAGTTTCAACTATGGCTACATGCATGTTACAAAATGTTTAATGTACAAGAACCTGTGTGGTAAAACAAAGATGTCTCCATTATGGCTCCGATCATCAATCATTGCTATTCACGTCATACACCGAGTACGCTACCAGCACTTGGTGAAGAAAAATAGCTTCTCACAGCACACGAAGTAGAACCAAAACTGCAAAAGGAAAGAACAGATATAAGCCTTCAAATTCCTGCTAAGAAAATTGCGCCAAAAGAAAAGACATTCCCTCCTCTCCCATCCATATCAAACAGAACACCTAAAGAAATATTTGAATGTGATGTTGAAAAAAAAGAGTCAAACAACAATGGTAACATGTCAGAACATCTAAGATAGGTTATAAATACAAGATAAGTCTGTGATCCCACATCCACATCAAAAAGTCTTCTCTCTGGAAACGTAATAAATTTATTACGCTTCGAAGAATTCAATGTGACGATCGAAGTATCATTTCAACAAAACCATGCTTGGTCTTTCGCTTATGAATCAGAGAGTTGGTGGCAAGGAAATGAAGCATCCAACGACACAAATTCTACAGACAATGTGAGATCCCACATTGGTTGAAGGGGGGAACGAAGTGAGGAATCTAAAGAGTTAGGTAATAAATAAGAGGGTTAATAAAAGTGCAGAGAATCTTGCGCTCAAGTTTCCCTGTCATGAGACAAAATATGATATTACTTATTTATTCAACTTATAAAAGTAAGTTGTCTTTTATGAAATGCACCTCTGTGATCCAAAAAAGAAAGAAAAAAAAAAGTAAGAGAAACTCTCGTACTAAGGGAATTTATGAGTTTCAAAAGACTAACATTATGAGAATGATGAACCATGGGAAGCACGTTCATACGTACATTCTCTATATGTGAATATCACCTGCAAACATACTCCAGCACTTTGATGCAAAGGAACTCAAAGATACAACTTAATTAAACAGCATTTTCTCAGAATTTAAAGAATGAATCAAACCGTATTCCAACATTCTAATATACATAACCTATTGCTTCTTGAGACACAAATATAAGATTAAAAAATATGCCATGAAGAATAAAGCCGGAGATATAAAAGAAAAGCTTACCAATTGAGATAATAAGAATTGTTAAGAATGTTACTTGAACAGGCCTACTATACTGCATTTGATATAGAGACCTCTGAAACTGTCTTTTAATAGATCCGTACCAGCCATAGAGTTGCTTATCATAAAAATCATCACAACTATCTAAGCAACTCTTACTTCTTCTTTCATATCCAACAATTATACCCTACATGGAAAGAAACAGAAACTATAATCTAGTAACTAGATCAGAAAATCTAGCTCATAGTCATAATTATGGAAACAAACCGATTGAAATAATCACAACAATTGATAGAATGCTTACCCTAGTTGATTGAGAGGCTTGCAACAACATCGGATTAGTTTCTTGATGCCTATCTACTACTTTCAACTTCCAAAAGGCATTCTTTTGCAACTTGAATTTTGATGCAGAGTCAACAGTATTTAAAAACCCCGAAACACTTGGTATCTTTCGTACAAGTTTCTGGGTTTGTTTATTAAGAGAACATGGTTGGAAATCAACCCCTGAAATTGCAATCTTCCAGGAACCAATGTCAGGACTAGCGCTAGCTGTCCTCCGATGTCCATGGGACTTCTTCTCTCTACACTCTTGAGAACCCTGTTCAATTGATTGAAGAGATTTAATTGAACAAGCTGGGGCTGATCCTTCGTCCATCGCCTGTGGGTTTTCATTCTCACTAACAACATTTTTAACAACAGTTTTGCCTTCACCTGCGGAACGTCCAGAAAGAAACAACGCAAGTTCATTGCTTTCACCTTCATCCAGCCGCATCCAAGGCATTGAGGATTTTCCCTTTGATTGAGAAAACTCTTGTAATGAACTTTGAGTTTTTAATATCTGATCCTCAATTGCTACAATAAATTGCCGGTGCCTATTTCTCGGATCTTCATTTGTGCTGTTAATATAACTCGCTTTCACAGCTCGTTCAAACTCCTCTAACTGCGTTGACATCACAAGTTATAGCTATTTTAGAAAAAGCAAGAGGGCGATCATCAGAATAAGAAAGAAACTAATACAGATTATTGAGGGAAGAAATGCCTCAACTCAAGCTGAGGAAATTAGTTAGCCAAACGTATGGAACGCAGAGGGGATTCTTGTGGGGATGGGGAAGGAAATTAGGGAAGAGATCACCTGCCATTTGGTGGTGCCAAGAGCAGTGCGTAAATCCCTATCGAGCTCATCATAGTTCCAAATGCTGGAGCCATCTTTCATGGCGTGTACCCAAGTTCTATATGTCGATTCTATTCTGAGATACATAAACGAAAAAAACTCTGACCCATGACAATCCGATCAATTGACAATAGAGGACAGCAAACAGAGAATGGAAAGCAGGGGAGGAATATCCCTTGATATACATTCATAATCCGGGCTAAATCTAAATCCAGAAAAAGATAAGGACAGACACCAGAAAGCCAAACAAAAACAAAATCTTGGAGAACGAGAACCCTTTTGCTTCCTCCACATTTTTCTCAACAACAAATACCACAGGCATCTTTCTCGTCATTAAAACAAAATCACAAGTACAAATCATCTGTGAACATTTTCAAAACGTAAGAGAAATACCGAGGGAGAAGAATGTACCTATCGGCAGATTCCTGAACTTCCTCCGCGGCTGAGAAAAACGGATCCTTTTCCCAGCGATCAAAACTCGAAGCCATATTCCTTTGTACGAAAAGGGAAAGAAAGAAACCCTCACAAAAGATTAATAGTAAAACTGAAAGGAAAATGATACACAAAACGAAAATCTCTAGCCAATTTGGCACGGAGTAGAGAACTAGAAACAATTTGGAGAAGAAAAATGCAGTAGAATCATGGAGAGGAGGAGGGCGCAAGGAGGAAACCAGTTGGGGTCGTTGAAAGAGACGAGAAGGAGTAGTGGCGCGTGGAATTAACAAAGGTGCAGAAGGCTGAAGGCGGGCGTCATTTTGGCCCCACGATTCTCAACAAAGCGCGTCGCCGACGGAAATCAACACTTTCCCGCTTCTGAAACGCGCGAAGGTAAAACAATTTTTTTTTTCTTTTGATTCGACGCAGTTTGTTACCTTACGGACGATGTTCAATGGGCCTCATTTTATATGGGCCTATAAGTCCATTCATTGTTGATGGGTCTATATAAGCCCGTTACTGTAGATGAGCCTATAAAGCCCATTTATTGTAGATTGGTCTATAAAAGCCCATTTATTGTAGATGGGCCTATAAAAGTCCATTTATTGTAGATGGGCCTATAAAAGCCCATTTATTGCAGATGGGCCTCTTGCTGTGCATACATTTTGACAGAGTGCAAGATTACTGCGACGGTGGCGCCCCTGGCAGCGCGGAGAGGCGACGCCGACAAACTCAAAGCAGGCCTCTGATAGAATCCGGAGCCCATGCTTTTCGATATGACGCTTAGGGCCTTACCCCTCTTAGGAACGCGGCCAAGCATGGCCATCCCGAGGTTGTCAAAACCCTTCTGGAAACTGGTGCGCCATGGAATGTGCTCTCTCCTTCCACTCTCTCTGCTGGAGGTTTTGCTCTGGACACTGGTCGCCAGGAGGACTTCCAAATTCTTCCTGCTTTACTGCCTGACTTGCTTGCTTACTCTGGCGGCTAATTAAAGTGACAATAAATCCAAGTAGGTATGAAACTTAATTCTACGAGGTGCGATATGTCTTAAATGTCATAGCTGCGCTCGATAATTATTTGAAGAATCTTGATCATGAATGGCTATAATTCAGAAAAGCATCAACCTTATTAGTTGTTTTCTTGTCGGCATGGTTGATATCAGCAATTGGCTGGATTTGTGTCGTTATTCAAAAAGTCAATAGTTTGTTCTCTAATCTCTGTAATAGTTGAATAAAAAGTTGTTGTAGATCTCAAATGAGAGTGCATCCAATTTAGACAACCAAATTTGAAGTCACAAACTAACTAGGGTGCATCCAATTTTCAGTAGGGTTTCCAAATGGGAATTCTTGATTGATGTTATGAACTTTGACAAAGAAAGCAAGCAAATCCACTAGAATTCTGTACAATTATTTTCTTTCTTTCCATTTTTCCTTTCCCATGAATATGATATGGTTAAAAGGGTAGAGTTCGAATTCAACAAGCCCCCCTGCGAACACATTGGCGAGGACAGGCAATACAGATTAAGGTGTTATAAAGGAGAAGACAGGTTTCAATTTCATGGAAGATTCTTGCAGGTCTCAAGTCCAGGTGAAGGCAATGGGGCTACCCACATTGTGTTTCCCATCCGACCATTCCAGACGAGCAAAGCTCTCAGACCCCGACGGCATTGCAGAAGCAACGAATGTTACCGTGTAACTCTTCTGCTCATTGGGCTTCGCAAAACTCAATGATTCTGGTTCAACCATAATCTTCACCGACGGGCTTTTCGACGTTACAGAGACCTTATACGTCGATGGGGCACCCTTGTTGGTCAGAGTCCTTGTATATTTTACGGTGGTTGGTGCGGTGCCTTCGGCGCCGCCTTTGGTGGAAGGGGTCTCTAATGCAACGGCAAATGACGGGTAGTTGAGATCCTCCAATTTGTAGTTCTTGTTCCCACTGCAGGTGAAGTCTTTCTTGCTGATTACTTTGATTTGAAATGAGCTGTAGTTTAGGGCGCAGAGGAAGGCGAAGTAGTCCTCAATGGTGGCATCGTAAACGAGGCCGGGATCGAGGGCGGCCGTTGGATTCACATGTCCGGCTCCGATATCGAACGGCGTCGATGGTAATCCGCTGGATACGTCTTGTATTGCTTCGCCGGTTTTGTATGTTGAGTAAGCTGTGGTCATTAGAGCAGATCTAATGGCGGCTGGGCTCCAATCTGGATGAGCGGCTTTTAGAAGAGCGGCTAATCCGCTAATGTGAGGGCACGACATTGATGTGCCAGAGATGATGTTGAAAGCCACATGTCGCTTATCGCTGTCTAAGCCTGTTGGTCCGACGCCGCTGGTCCATCCAGCCAGAATGTTCACTCCCGGTGCTATTAGATCGGGTTTGAGAATCTGCGGAGTTAGGAGATTCGGGCCTCGAGAACTGAATGCGGCCACCAACGGCGATGGTTGAACTCCCAATCTTGTGCTGCCGGCGCTGATTGTTGCTGTTGGATTAGCGTTGGTGGAGATGTAGCTCTTTATTGCGTCGCCCGTTTTCTGGCCAACGGCCGCCGCCGGCAAGAGATGTGCATCGGCTAATTGTTCCTCGCCGTATGTTTCAGTGTTGGCCAGAATCATCCCTGCACCGCCGGCGTCTTTTACGACCAACCCTTTCTGAACTCGAGAGTTCCCTCCTCTGTCACAGACGACTATTTTTCCGGCCACCTTCGCCGGATTCAGAGTACTGGTCAAACAAAGGCTGCCACTGGTTGAATTACTCGCATGGGCTGCATATACAATTGGTATTAAAGAGTCTGACAAGGGCTTTCCATTGTAGAGCGACTGTCCTGTAAACTTCTTCCCATTTCCAAGAGTAACATATACAGGGAAGTCTCTGTCCAGAGTCCCAGCGCCAACAGTGGTTATCCACGGCGCAACGTTGGACAAACTACCTGATGATGGCCCACCATTTCCAGCAGAACATGACACAAAAACTCCCTGAGCCGTAGCAGAGAAGGCGCCAATGGCAACATTGTCTCTGTAGTAATCAGGGGAAGATCCACCAAGCGACAAGGATAGAACATTGACACCATCTTCAATGGCCTTATCCATGGCAGCCAAAATGTCAGAGCCGAAACACCCTCCAAGCCAACATACCTTATATGTTGCAACCCGAGCTTCAGCCGCCATACCTTTTGCAGTTCCTGCACCGAAACCAAAGAGGCTTGCTCCGGTCACGGCAGATCCAGCAGCGGTTGTTGAAGTGTGACTTCCGTGGCCATCGTCATCCCTCGGCGATTTGGACTCTTGGGATTCGTCAATTGCACCAAATGCCGCTTCATAGCCCTTTGAAAAGTACCTGGCTCCGATCAATTTCCTGTTACAACTAGATGAGCTGAAGTTTTTACCCACTTCGCACTCCCCTTTCCAGCTTACAGGCACCGGCCCTAGCCCTGTATCATCGAAGCTCTCCAATTCAGGGCATACACCGGTGTCAAGAACACCGACGATCACTTCGCCGACCTTCACCGACGCCGGGAAGAAAGAGACGCTCTTCTCAAGTCCAAGAAACTCAGGCGTCCGTGTGGTATGGAGGTCGTATTTCAGTTCCGGTATGACAGCCAGAATTCCTTCTTGCTTCTCTATCAGCTTAGCCTCCTCCACTGTCAATCTTGTGGAGAAGCCATGAACCACTGTGTTGTAGTAATAAAGCGTTTGGGCTGAATCAGAAACTGACTTCAAAGAAGAATCATACCACTGGAAATGATCATCAAAGGCTTGTGGCATATTGGTTCTGTCCATATGAATTATGTAAGTCTTCTTCTTCAACTGCTGACTGCTCTTCTGTGCTGCTGCAAACGAGCAGGAACAGGACGAAATCAAAAACAGAAGAAACCATTGCGAAACTCTGCAAGTTTGAATCTTCATCTTCTTCTTCAAACTCTTGTTTTTTTCGGAGGAGGAGAAGAGCCTTTAGCTAAATAATAGTTCTTCAAACTCTTCGTCTTTATTGTGGTTAGTGGGTCCATTCCAATCATGTCCACCTCCGTGTGGAAATAAAACGTCAATACTTCTTCCTTATTTCGTTCCAATTCAATGCCTTTTCAACAATAGTAACTTTTTCAAATCATTCCTTCCACAATTTTCAAAATCAATTCCCATAACCTTGGTTTATATGATATTCCATTTTGGCCAGCCTTAATACATGTAGTTTGGAACATAATTTTGCATAATTACTCACTAATTTTCATAAAATAAAATATGAAATTTAATGCCATGAAAAGAGTACCTACTATCGATGTATCCAAAATTAAATGATAATCGAGTTCTTATTGCAATTTCAATGTAACTTGAAGAAAATAATAAAGGAGGTAATTAATGCATGGACGGGAAGAAGTGTATCCTAAGTGGGCTATTAAAAAATAATTGAATGCTTAATATTTATGAGGAATAAAAATGGGTAAAAAAGAATATATACGATAAAGTAGGTGTGAACTCCTATTTATAGATATTCAAATTTGTAAGCCCGATATGTGTTTAGGGCAATAGAAGTCCACATTGGGCAGAGTGATTGATGGGCACTGAATTATTTGGCCAAATCTGCAATCAATTGTGGTGGGTGGGACACTCATCTTTCCATTAGCTAATAAAGCTGTATTCTTTCCTATCGCTGTGCATTTCTTTTTTATTACCATATTTTCTCCAATCTGTAATCAATTGGAAGGTAATGTTTAATGATTAGTACAAATGAAATTATTTAATGGGCAGAGCGAGAGGGCTTTCAGTGGTAGGCATCCACTAATCACTATCTCGCCTTACCATTTCGCCCATTTGGTAGTCATCTTCATCTCCTCCTCTCAATTCACACCAATTCACCCCAACTTGTATTGATGGCGATGTCTACAAGTGTGTGAACCTACTCACTAAAATCTTCCCTCTTCGGTTTTCAAATCATACCCATACCATTCATTCTCATAACTTTATTTGTTTTCTTTTGCCCCCGTGTTTTAAGAACATTGCTGATGTTTTTATTATTATGGGTATTTTGATTTAAATCATGTCAAAGGATTTAATAAAGAAAGCTATGACATGTAGGCTTTGTCCATATGAATAATGATAATGAGGCAAAAGATTGTCGTTATTCAACCCACCCACCCACTATTACATTACGTAATCAAAGTTTGTGATAAACTTTATATAATAAATCAACACAAGTGGATATGTAAATAAATAAGAAGGATAGTTTTGGAAGATTTCCTTAAAATTTTTGAAGGGGTTAGACGAACACGACTCTCCATACTGGTATGATATTATCCACCCACAATTATGATATTATCCACCCACAATATATGATATTATCCACCCACTATGAGCACGTAAGTTCTCCTGAATTTGCTTTGAGTTTCCTACGAGACCTCGTGTCAATGGAGAGGATCATTTACTAAATTAGCTTTACTGTTTAAATTAGGAAATAAATAATAAATAAAATAAATTAAAGTGGGAAATTAGCTGGAAGGGGTCCACTTTACTTTTGGTGATTCCGAGTTTGCTGCTTTATTGGACAGAATATCCACAGCTTTCAATTCCACACCCGGCATCAGATCATGAACGCTCCAATTAGTATATTAATATTTGTTTTATAATACCATGCTGAATCAATTAATTAGACATAAACAAAAATAAATTAATTTTTAAAAATTGAGCTACGAAAACGGTGTAGTCTAAATTTAGGGCTAAATTATTTCTGTAGCTCATTTAAATCAAATTAATAGATAAAACACAATGATAAAATTTTATTGAACTTTAAAAACAAATTCCAATTAAAGAGTTATATGTAGGTTTAATTTTTAAATTCTAAAAGTTTTATTTGAGCCAAGTTTTTTAAGTTTTAAAATATTTTTTTCTTCAAGTTTAATCATTCATATTAGAGATATTATTAAATCTTATATTTTGATACTCTGTTGAATATGACCGCTCATCACAACCAACCATTATTTAATTTTCACTTTAATTTCTAAAAAAGAAAGCTAATGTAAAAGTGACTTTTAAATTTTAAATTCAATTATTCGATCCCAATTTTGTAATTTACTTTTTGAAAGTGAATGTAATAATAATTCACACATACTTTTGAAAAGAACGAATATAATAAATTATAAGTGGATTTACCTAAGTTCTAAAGCAAAAACATTAGTAAGTGGAAACTAAAATTATATTCAATATTTTACGTATTCATATATATTTGGAGTGGCAGCTATGTCTGAGTATTAATTAATTTTAGGATAAGATTTGATAAATTAGGAGCGCGACATTAAAATTGTCAAAATACTGATTTAAGTTTAATTAGTCGTGATAAATGAAAATAAAAAAGGTCCCAATCTCATATATTTATGTCATCCAATTAATTTGAAGAATGAGACAAATGAACAAAAGTTTGGTTTCAGACTTAGATTCTTCGTAAATTCGTAAATTGATAAAAGAATGTGGTCCAACATTTTTCATAATTTATTTAAATGTTTTTATTTGCATTATTGTATTATTTAGTCAATGCAGCAGTGTAAAACGAATTTTATGGCTCCAATTGGATAGCTGTTTTTTTCCACGTTAATTTATTATTTAATCCCAATAATTTTTGTTTTGATAGAATTATTGCACATGACACGCGTAAGATAAATAAACGATGCAATTAATTAATTTAAAATTAATAGTAACTCGTGAATTCAATGTACATTTTTTTAATTATAAATTTGTTATTAGATATTATTTTTTAATAAAAAAACATCTTTTACTCTAAATTAAGATAAAGTATTCTCCATGATACTTTAATGATATAAAGAGATATAAAGAAATGTTGCATCAATATTGATCATGGACGAGACTCTTGGTCTTATTTTTGTGTAATAATGAAAATGACAAGGGAGCTTATAGGGCTTAAAAGAGTTGTTCAAATGTCAGGGTCCCAAAAGAAATAATTCAATGGTACAGTTGTATCAAGTTGGATCAATTAATTTTATTTTTTATTTGCATTAATCGTATTTATTTTTCTTTTTCAATCAACAAATCACAAACCATCTTTGTTTAATGGCTTGAACTAAGAGCTAACATTTTCAATTATTGAGTGATTTGCCTCTTCGTAATTGATAACGAACCTATCAAATTGTTAATTAATCAATACACGTTCCAATTTTCAAATAGTGACACAAAATATATTGAATTTTAATTATCTAAAAAATTAAACTTTATAAAACAATAGGATATTGGAGGATATAGGGCCTCATTTATGACGAGGCTTTCCACTCTTAGTGGTCATTTTTTTCCTTGCAAGGGACAAATTCATAGGTAAAAGAAATCAAATTTTATTTATGATGTTCCAAGACTGTCTTTTCGGCATTTGATTTATTAATCCAATACAATTCAATTCACTCAACTAAGTTAGTTACATAATTTAATTTTAAGCTCACTTAATTAGGTTAATCTAAATCTAACTCAATTGATTATCAGATAAGATATTATATTAGGAAAGTTGAAGAGGGTTAAAACAAAATATTAGGGTTTCATGTTCTTGGGATTGAGCCCAATGATCGACCCAGGCCTTTATCTAGCGTATGCCCATGTGGGCTTTAGACCCGCATCCATGACGAAGTAGGCTTGCCGTTGAATATTCTGCTTTTGATTTATTCATGCTGAGCTCACTGAAATCACTGAGCGAGAAGACAGAAGCGCGAAAAAGTTCGTAGGATATGGTGAATAGCTTGCGTCGGCGTTGTGGCTGGCTTCTGCGGCCGGTCGTTGCCCATATCGATACAACCACCAAAGCTTCTGTCTCTGCTAAGATTCGGTGGAGGTCGTATTTCAGTTTCGGGTCATCTCCAATGAGATTCAGAGTCAGAGAAAGTAAAGTTCCTTGCCCAACTATCTTGGAAACTATTCGGTATCGATTCTTTTCCTCAGTTTCTGCATCGAAATCAAGGATTGGATTTGTTGGATGGTACATGAGGAAACTCGACACTCACCCGTTTATCACTAAAAGTATCACTTCTTCGCTCATTTATGGGGCTTCTGACTTGACCTCTCAGGTAGAAGATGGTTTTTATGACTGTTTGCATTTCGTTTCCGCCTTCTTTCAGAGTTTTTATTTTCTCATTCATGGTACAGTTCGTGAATTACACGCATGTCATGAATAAACGAGATTGAGTATTGGATAAGACAATTTTATTACTGTACATAGCGTTTTGGAGTAGAAATGTTATATGAAAGGAGGAAGATAGGCATTTTCTGGTGAGTGAATTAGGACTTGAGAGACATCTCAGATGAATTGCCTTATCTTGTAAGCTTCTTACCTTTTATATTTCATTATCATTTTGGTTTTGTTTGGGTTCTATCTGTTTTACAGGGATGGATAAGGATGTCTTCTTTTCTGGGCCTTTTCTACTTATCCTTAACCTCTTGTTCCTTGTATTTCATGGCCATTGATGAATTTGGTTCACTTGTTCAACTTTCTTCAGTTTTCTACTACACCCTTCATGGAGGCAGCTACACCCTTGCAATTTACCTTCTTATATCCTCTTGTTCTGGTTTATTTCGTCTTCTAATTGTTTGGTTTACTTATATTGTGTTCAGATGATTACAATGCCATCTCCTGGCTCTTTTGACTTAATAAGAACAACACGGATGACTGCTTATGGGTTGTTGATATTGGGGCCATCCCAGCATTTGTGGTTTAATTTCATGTCTACAATCTCACCAACACGAGATTTATTGTCAACTTTCAAGAAGATGTTTCTGGGGCAGGCTGTGTATGGACCTATTATTACCTCTGTTTTCTTCTCCTACAATGCATCGTTGCAAGGTAATTAGAAAGTGGAAGTTGTAGAACTTAAGATAATCTTTCAATGCCTTGCCATCAGTTGGTAGTGAAAGCCCCTCTGGCTTTATAGGCTCAACGAACCATGAACTGATGGAATTTATAACGTTTTGTTCTAATGTCACTCCTGTAACGCAGGCTGTGAAATATAATTCTGAATGCACTATTTTCAAATTCAGGTGAAAGTGGCCGTGAGATTGCTGCTAGATTAAACCGCGATTTGCTTCCAACAATGTTAAATGGGCTGTTGTATTGGCCAGTCTGCGATTTCGTCACATACAAATTTGTCCCCGTTCATCTACAGGTATGAACTTGGTACTCATTATACAGATCCGAGATGCTGCGATATGTAATCTTTGTTTTGATCGCTCAACTTAGCTGTTTGCTCATAACCACACAGCTAGAAGTCTTATTGAGTTTTGGGACATTGATTTTGCAGCCATTGATAAACAGTTCGTTTCAATATGTGTGGACCATTTATCTGACATACATGGCAAGCTTAAAAGCAGTTGAGATCAATTGAAGCAGTAGTAGATTTGAAGAGAGTGCCCATTTGTTTTCAGGAATCGGTTCCCTTATTCGTCTGTCTTGTTTGACAACAACCCTTGTGAAGCAGCAGCCTTCTACACTGCTTGGTAAGTAAAGCAACAACCCTTGACTGCTCCTTTTATGCAACTTGTGAATGGCTCTTATTATTCACATTCAGCACTGAATTTGGATGTGCTGCTCCCACAGGAAGGAGAAGCTCTTCAATTCAAGGACTTCTTCTACTTCGCGTGAAGGCCTGCAGTGTTTGTTTGATTATGTAAATTTAATGGCGATGAACCAGCAATGACTTTATTATGTTCTTTGGTATGTGAAATCTATTCCTTAGACATTTTGAGCATCATCTTCTATCTTTTTCTCTTGTGAGATCCCATTTCGGTCGGAGAAGTGAACAAAACATTCATTCTAAAGGTATAAAAACTTTTTCTCATGGGCGCGTTTAAAAATTTTAAGAAAAAATCTTGAAAGAAACTTTCAAAGAAAATATTTATTAGTGGCTTATGCTATTACACCTTGGACTTTAAAAAGTTAGTCCAAAAATTTGAAGGAGCAATAAAAGACTTGAAAATTTGATATATTAATCATTCATGGAGATTTCTTTGGTCACTAGAGATATTAATATCGTAATTAGGGTAATAATCCCTAAATTAATGTGAATTGATTTTGCCCTAAAAATGAAGGAAAATTTATTGGATGCCATTTGACAACGTCAAACTCGCACTTGCAACGTTCACTAGACTCGGTCTCTTTAACGTCCTATTGCATAACCCGTTTCCACGCGTACAACTTGCTCCATTTCAAAACCAGCTTTGGGACCCACGACACGTTACGTTCACACCACGCGAGTACCATATTTTTGTACACTCGCGACTAGTCAGTCTTTAAACCTTCCTTACCCGTCCTTTTTTCGAATTTTTATGTTTATAATAATATAAAAGAACAGTGACGTCAGTGACCGTTGTGAATATCCCAAATTTTCTTCCCCAATCCCCTCTCTCTTCTTTGTATTTCTCCGGCGAAACTCTAACGGTCATTTTTGAGAAAACGAAATTTGGCTGTTCGACAGCAAACATTCCGCTCCTCCCTTCACAATCGTCTGGAATTCGTTGAGATTGATTGTTACTTGCTGGGAGAAGTGGATGATTTTTGGTTTGCATTCATGTTGGGGTGATCTGCGGTGTAAAAATTAGGGTTCGATTGTTTCGAAAGGAAATAATGGTTGCTTCTGTATCGACGACGTTGAATCCGAAATCCGTGGCCCAGTCTCAGAGAGTGCCTCACTCTCAAAATCCTACGAGGCCGCCTTTGTTACCTTCCGATCCCGACAATTGTGCCGTCGCTCGACGGCCCAAATCCCGGGAAGTCACTTCTCGGTATTTATCGTCTTCCACTTCCTCTAATTCTGCATCGGTCCTGAGACGATGCCTCTCCCCTTCGGTTTCTGGAACATCTACTTCGGCGACTGTTCTGACTCCGATGCCGTCGTCTATCAGGCGGTCGGAATTCATGGACAGGACGCAGATAGGGACTCCCCATCCTAATTCGTTGGATTTCAGATTTGTTCATGGTAATGGTAGGGGTGAGATGACGGCGGCTCAGAAGCTGTTGTTCAATTCGACACGGAGCCTATCGGCCTCTTTCCAAGGCGAATCGTTTCCATTGCAGGCTAGTAAGGCAAAGCCCGCGCCGACTCCTGGTATTCGGAAGGGCATGTCGGAGCAGAGAAAAACAACCACACCAACAAGAGGTACTGGTGGCGGCGGCGATCAGACCGAGAATATGAAGCCAGTAGATCAGCAGCGGTGGCACGGTAGTCACCGGCAGGCGAATTGTATGAGCAGGAGTTTGGATTGTATGGATGAACGGAAGAAGATCGCTGGTGGGTCTGGGAATGTGGTTAGAGCGCTGCAGAATTCGTTTGTCGAAGACAGATCTACATTTGACGGAAGACTTGGTTCTGATTCTGGAAATTTAGAGTCGGAGAGGGCGGTAGAGCCTCTTGCTGAAGGAACTTCAGACAATAGTTTAGACGTTTCATCCAAACACCTTCCTTCTGATTCTGAGAGCGTGTCTTCTAGTTGTTCTTCGGGAACGCAGGAGGGTGGTGTCGGAAAAGGACAGCGTGGCCCTCGAGTAGTCGTGGTACAGGCGAGGGTATGGCAAGAGACTAACAACCGGTTGCGAAGGCAACCAGAGCCGGGTTCCCCATTATCTAAGAACGTTGGAGCAAAAAGTAAAGTACCTTCGAAAGTAAATATTCCCAAGAAGCATTCAATTGATAGTCCAGCATCATCTCCTCGCCAGGTTGCTAATAACAACATTGGGCATTCATCTCCTGTTCGAAGTCCGATTGGTCCTGCGTCTCCAAGTAAGCTTTTGGCGTCTTCCATATCATCACCTTCAAAAGGAAGTCCATCTCATTTAAGATGCTCAGTGACAAATGGGTTCAGTAATTACTGGAGCAGCACACCATCTGCTTTGAGTTTTGCTAATGATGTACGGAGGGGGAAAATGTGGGATAGCAGGATGGTTGATGCACATTCGTTGAAGATTTTGTACAATAGGCTTTTGCAGTGGCGTTTTGTCAATGCTAGAGCAGATGTCACTTCTTCTGTCCAGAGCCTGAATGCCGAGGTATGATTCCTGGAAATGGCCACTTTCTCCACTTTATCTTTTGAAAAGAGTAGTTGATCCTTTCTTTTTGGGTCCTAATTTCAATCACCCATTTGTCTGATTTGCATTATCATCTTGTTTGGATCATCATCCACTAATAAATAGGTGTTTTTGAACCTTGGATATCAAAGAGAGAAGAGGATCTGGTTCTGAACTCAAATAAGCATTTTGCTTATAAATTAATTTGTTGTGATAACTTAGGCTTCCTGGTTTTTGTTAATTGGTCTTTTATTGCAATGGCATTGTTCTCCACTCTACCAATCTTTCTCATCTGTTCTCATTTCTAACGCTACAATTATGTAACAATGATATTTGAATACAAATTACTTATATTGTTTAATTGTTCCTTATGTCAGAAAAACATCTTCAGTGCTTGGAATGGTATTTCAAAACTGCGTGAATCTGTTCTAGCCAAAAGACACGAGTTGCAATTATTACAGCACAAACTGAGGCTGGCTTCTATCCTCAAGTCTCAAGTAAGATATGCAGATGCATTCTTCTTTCTCTCTTTTTCTGTATCCTGTTATCTTGAAAATTAAAGAATAGTTCCTGAACTCTGAGTTTGCATCTAGAAAACTATTGTTTAGGTTCATTTGGCTCCCTCTATTAATTATCACTCAGATTAAATGCTGCATGAATCTTCATTCAATTGTTTTGCCGACGATGATCTTTGCTTAAACTATGGTAATTATTCTGATATAAATGTAGATGACATGTTTGGACGAGTTGGATCTTCTGGATCGAGACTTCTCCAGCTCTCTGTCAGGTATTACAGAAGCTTTGGAAGCTAGAACCCTCCGCTTGCCAGTTGATGATGGGGCAAAGGTGGGTGTCATCTCTGTGTGTGTGGACGTGTATCAACAAGTTTTTCCTTCATTCTTTGCTTATTTATGTGTTTATCTTTTGGCCATAGGCGGAAGTCCAGGATGTTAAGGAAGCTATTTCTTCGGCAGTTGATGTGATGCAAGCAATGGCCCCATCCTTAAGCTTATGGCTATCAAAGGTTGCAACCCCACACTCAGCTATTTGTCGTTTCTATTTTCATCTGCCACTTATGTTTCTTTAAAAGAATAATTACCGTTAAATATGGTAATCCAACATTCCGGTACAAGCCCACCTAAGTTAGGTCTAAACCTTTATCCAACAAATAAAGCCCAAGGGTTAACTCATGGGTTTTTAGAAGGCACAAATGAGGAGGGCGACTTCTCGTAGTTGGATTGCTTATTGCTGTTGTCCTCTATAATTTAGTTTTAAGGTAGAAATACAACAAATTTGATCATTAATTACATCAACAAGAGCAGGACTGGTGTCTTTGAGTTTCCTTCTGTTTAACCACACCTGTCGTGAAATGATTACACAGCTTTGACACATGATTAAAGACATCTCTTATTTATGATGATAGGTTGGAGATGTGAATTCTGTGGTATCAAAACTTGCAGATGTTAATGCACATGAGCGTGCATTGCTTGACCAGTGCAACGATCTATTATCTACAGCATCTTCCATGCAGGTATTCTTTTGTCTCCTCTCTCTCTTTCTCCTATACCTCTCTCCTCCCGTGTTTTCCATCTCACACACAAGGAAAAAAAAAATTGTTTACCAGGTAAAAGAATTCAGCTTGAGAACACACATATTGCAACTAGAACGCATATCAGCTTAACAGGACAGAATGCGCGGGACAGGCATCTGCTGTACTATACTATTAGACCTAAGATCATGCCAGAGAATTGAACACATTCTCTTGAATTCATGAAACAAAGAAGCAATAAAAGATCCATTCACAGCATGAGTCGTAGAAGTTGTGAGTGTTTTCGTAGATGGTAGAAAACTTGTGGTGCTCAAGAGTTGTTCAAATTTCATCACAATTCATATATCTTTCTTTCTTCTAGAGAGGAGGCCAGGCCAACATTTCTTGTAAATGTCTAATCATGTAGTGTTATCGTTCATTGCTTTATTTCCCTGCCTTATGTGGCCTCCAACTGTTTGTTTTGTGAAAAATAGTGCTTTTGGCTGATGATAGGAGCCAGTATGAAAGCTCCTTTTGATGACTGGTTACGTGTGAAAACATAACGCCTATGCCTTTTTACATTCCCACCATCAACTCCTTATTCCTTCTAACTATCAAGAAATTTTGCTACCTCTACCTCGGTTCGTTCTTAGAAATTTTTATTTCATTGTGCCTGAAAATGATTACAAAACCCACACTCTCAACTTACTTTGAAGATTCTAAGTGAAATTTTGATTAATCACGAATCATTTTTTGATCCAGAATACATGTGGTGAAGCTCTGGTTATTAAGTTTGGTAATTAACCAAATTTATAAATTTGCCGAATTTGAGTTGTGGGGTTATCTTTTGGCTTGCAATGAATTAGCCCACCCACCCACATGCGGGGGTTGGCGGTTGTCATGATGCCAATTCTGTATCCACTTGCACGATTCAAGAACGAGTGTGGCATGCATATAATTTTCCCAATTGAAATAAAAAACAATGGCTTTGAGGGAAAAGAAGAAGAAAAGGAAAGAATTAATTGAATATTCTGTATCCCTCTTTCTACATCCCCAAGAATCGGCTAAATTAATTTTATACAAAGAAAACTGAAACTAATTTTGAATTTTGATTCTAATCCCTCTTCCCCAATCCGGGAAAGGATCGTCCAAATTCAGCGAGATCTCCGGTTCCGGCAGCCAGAGAAACCGAGGCTTCTTCATCGGCAGAGGACTCTCCACCTCCTCGTCGCCAGGGAAGGAAGGCTTCGGCAACAGAATCGGCAACGCCGGGATGTTCAGGTCGAAGTTTCGGTGGCTATGGCTGACGATGTGGGTCGAACCTACTTCCTCCGACGATGTCAACGTCATCCCGTTGTAGCTCTGGCGATTCGCAGTGGCGTCGGCACCATCTTCGTAGTAGCAGCGCTTGTGGCGACCCAAGGCCTGGCCGGTGGGGAGCGACTTGTGACAAACATTACGGACATGTGCCCTTCCACCAGAGTTAGAGATGGTGGACGTAGCACCGGAGATCGACATGCACTGGTCGTCACAAGCAGCCGGTTTCCGGTGGCTAGTCTTGTGACCACCCAGAGCCTGGTAAGAGGAAAAGACCTTGTCGCGAAGAGGACACTTGAAGGCGGACTTGGTGGCGACGGCAGGCTCAAGCAGGGAACGGGGGTCGCCGCGGGCGAGCATGATGAGACAGAGAGCAAGATACTCCTCTTCGGAAGGAGAAGCGTGAAGAGGTGGGCGGCGGGAACGCTTGCGCTTGGCCCAGGGCTTGAGGGGGTGCAGGAAGGGGACGTCATCGAAATGGAATGGGGAATTGAGAGCTTGGGGTGGCATAGCTGAAGAATGAAGGATTCAGAAGGGGAAGGGTTGAATTGAAAAGGTTGAGATTCAGACTCAGAGTCCAGAGGAATTGAAATGAGAGAGAGAGAGAGAGGGGAGTGGGGGATTTTATAGAGAGAACAGCAAGGAAGGAAATTGCGCGAGGACTGAGGAGGTTTGGCCTTTGGGTTCAGGACATACAAAATTACCACATTCTTATACCAAACTACAACTACATTACGAAAACATTCGCTAAAAAGAATTAAAAGATTAAGTAACAAATCAAATTTACGTGGGTTTTCATCGGACCAAAGTACCCTCCAGAATTATTGATTAATTAATTAATTTAAACGACGCTACACGAATACGTCGGCTTCCACAACCGTATCTCAATTTTTCTTTTTCATCCTTTTTACGTTTCGATTTCTCAGATCACAACCGGCGATGAAAGCAGCCTCCAATCTCAGTTCCTCACTTCCTATTTCGCCGTCACACTATAGGACCACCGCGGTCTTCACTCCTCATCGGCTGATCGCTTCTCCGTCAACAGCCGTGGGCGATGCTTTCTCGTCGTGTCGTACACATTTGACTCGCTCTCCACATCATCGATATTCGCTCAAGCCTCTGCGATGCAATGGTAATTCGGGATCCCAATCTCTTGTGTTAATCAATATTCGATGACGCAGGTCAAAATTGAACTCCTCTGTGGGGAAAGTTTGGTAATAATGGGGTAAGAATTTTTTAACGGTGGGGCAATTTGGTCAAATGGATTCTCTGTCGTGAAACGCTCGTTCCCCAACTTTTTGTATAAATAAATAGTAAATTAAACCTATGTTTTCCGTATTGGCCGCTGCCCCTTTCTTTTGCTCTGATTTTACCTCCGTCAAATTGTGTTGATCGAGTGTCCGGCGGGTGTTTGGCAGTGAGCAAGGCGGTGCCGGATCAAGAAATGGCGTCCACCGATGAACAAGACCCACGCATAGCCAAAATCGCCAAGGCCATTCGAGTAATCCCAGATTTCCCTAAACCAGGTGCTAATCTCCTCTCATTTGAAAATCGAAATGGCCGTTTCTAGGCTGAGAGATCCATCTTTGCTCTCTTTGTGCTTATTTGGGCTTTGCATGTGATGGGTCTTGTTTGGTGCTAAGTTTTTAGCTGAAACGATGTTTTTGTTCTAATTTTTTTCCGTAAACAACACCCTCTTCCTCTTTTGGTAGGGATTTTGTTTCAGGATATCACAACGTTGCTTCTTGATATAAAGGCCTTTAGGGACACTATTGATTTGTTCGTGGAGAGGTACAGAGGGAAGGATATTTCTGTTGTTGCTGGTAAATTCTGGCTTCAAAAGGGTCATTTTTACGTCAGGAGGGGAAGTAACTTTATGATATGACTTGAACCAATTCATCTTTTTTGTTCTGCAGGAATTGAGGCGAGGGGCTTCATTTTTGGCCCTCCGATAGCTCTGGCTATCGGTGCAAAATTTGTTCCCATGAGAAAACCCAAGAAGTTGCCTGGTACAATTTTGTGCTTGACACACCTTTATTTGTACCCATCTGAATCTATTTATAGTTTTAGCTACAGATTCAAGCATAATGTTCCGCATCTGACAAAAACTCTCGTGCATATGCTATTACATTTGATGTTTGCTATCCATAACCCGATGGTTAAGAAGTGAGCAATCTGCATGTCTTCTATGGTTAATCTCGTTTTCGATGCCAGAAACTTCAAGCTTTAGTCAATGTTCTAAGGTTTTTTGCTATTTTGATAGCTTAGGTTATGTTTGATAACCATCTGTCTTTAGGTTTTTGGTTTCTGAAAATTAAGAATATAAACACTACTTCCACCCACCCATGAGTTCCTTTGTTTTGTTATTTTCTACCATGTATGTTTCTATAATCCAAGCCAAGGTTTGAAAACCAATAAGAATAGTTTTTGAAAACGTGTTTTTGGAACTTATCTATGAACTTAAATATTTCCTTAGGAAAGATGAACTATCGTAAAGAATTTGACTAGGAATTCAAATGTTTTCTTTGGAAAGATGAAAAACAAAATGGTCATCAAACGGATAAACTGGATATTAGTATACTCTGGGCTATTGTATTGGATTACCATGATTAGTTTATCCTCAAACGAAAGTAAAATCATGATTCTGTATCTGAAATGTATTCGTTCAATCATGATTTCACAGGTGAAGTCATTTCAGAAGAATACTCTTTAGAGTATGGAACAGATAAAATTGAGATGCACGTAGGAGCTGTTGAAGCTGGAGAACGTGCTCTTGTGATAGATGATCTCATTGCAACTGGGGGAACCTTGTGTGCAGCAATAAGGCTACTTGGTAGGCCATTTTTAAAGCCAACGTTTCGTCTTCCAAGTGATTCTATTACTTTTTAGTTGAACATGCACTGGCCACAGCTGGAAGTGTCTCGTTTTTACTCGGGTTTTTGCACAATGACACTATCTTGGCTGTGATTTCCAAATCTTGCTCAGTTCTAGGACTCAGATTATTCTTTGAATCTGGTTAATTGTCATAGAAATTTTGGTTCAGTTTCTGAACAAAATTTTCTGAGTAGTCACTGAGAAATGACAATTGTTTGTTGACTCAGCCCTGTATTGCTGCTCAGTAGATGAGATCCTTCTCTTATTAACTTTTCTTTACGAGTGTTGTATTTTCACAATCTTGTGTTGGTTATATTAATCGGTTGTTTACTCCTTATGGCAGAGCGAGTTGGCGTTGAGGTGGTCGAGTGTGCTTGTGTGATCGAGCTGCAGGGACTAAAGGTATGCATTTGCAAAATTATGAGAACAGATCAGAAACCTTGTACTAGACTACTAGTTCCAGATCTTCCCATGACTTTTGTCCAGTTTGATGTTTATGATGTGATTATGATTCTCATTTCTCTAGTCTTGAAAATTTGAAATGAACTTCTGCCATTTTTTCTTTTGCAATTTCTCAGGGACGAGAACGATTGGGAGGCAAACCTCTATTCGTTCTAGTTAACGCGATGGCATGATCGTAGAGCCTTCTTATGCAATACAACGCATTTGGTATTGGTCGTTACAAGATCTTACTGCTGCTAGAAGTTGAAGTTTCCAAGTACTGCATAATTTTGAAGTGGAGAGTATTGCTAGAAATAAAAGGGATGGTATTAATCTGAGAGTTGAAGAGATAAAACAAAAAGAAGAAAAAGAAAATATTAGCTTTTGATTATTCTGGTTGTTATGTATTTGTTGTTTGTTAATTGTCGTGCTGTCTCCTTTCTGCCTGCCTGTTGACGATGTTAATTTTGATTATCTGCACAAACTTCTTTATTTTGCAGTTAATTAGTTTTTATCAAATAAAAATGCCTCCTCATGCATCATTACTTTTTATAATAAGTCTATTATATAGTTGAATCTCCTAGTTTATTCTATTAAATTATGCAGAAAAAAAAAAAACTAACTTTAGTTATAAATTTATTATCATAAATCATTTATAACATTTTGTGTATTTGATGTATTTCGTCAATCGACTCTAATATCTCTAAATTAAATTATTTCACAACGAATATTAAAAAAGTTTATCATGTAGTGTAATTCCTATTTATGTTCCAACTTTTTTTTTTTTTATTATTATTATTATTATTATTTATAGAGAGGAATAGGGTTAAAAATATTGTACAATTTTATTAAAGAGATGAATTTGAAATTTGAATATTGTAATTTTCATGAGGTGGACGAGAATATTTGATGAATGCTTGACCATTTAAGTAAGGTGCTGAGGTGGACAGAATATATAAGATTTTATGCCCTAAACCTATGAGTTTTCTTTTTAAGATTCTCATATTTTTGCAGTTTTTTTTTTTAACAACAATTTATTTAAAAACTAAATCTCACCTATAATCTTATTTTAAAAACTAAATCTCAAGTATTTGAAGATTTTTTGAAAATAAATTACCATTAACGAAAAAATCATTTAAAAAAAACGATAAATTTCTTGGGCGTGCTTCATGCACAACTGAGCCATTCTATCATAAAAGGAAAATAATCATTAATTAACATAAAAGGAATAATTTAGGTGCGCATTTTTTTAAAGTAGAATATATATATATTGATCATGAGACGACTTGACATTAATATAAATAAATTATCCTAATTTCTGTTTTTAAAAAATAAACATATAGCAATTAATTATATAGTAGATTAGTCCGGTCTCTAACAATTTAGACACTGAACATCATTAAAATGCCAATTAATGAATCAGGCGGCGATATTATTATTATTATAATTGTTATTATTTGAAATATGGTGACGTTAATTGATAACTAATTTTTTTAATACGCAAATTACGACATTGCAACTTTTAAAACAAAGAAATATGTGTTGGACGTTGAAAGCGTGCATGAATAATGCTATTATAAATTAATTGAGATGCTTTGATTTTATCAATATCCTATTTAAATGAGAGGGGAGAAATTTTTGTCTTATTTTGTCTCTTTCAATATATATTTTAATAAATAATATATTTTATACTATCTAGATGAATTGAGATAATTTGATTGAAAATAGAATTTAGGGAGGTTTTTTTAATTAGAGATTATAGAAAAATAAATATTTTTAAAGAAAAAATTATGTTTATTCTAGCTCATTCTAAATATTTAATTATGATCCTTATTTTTATTTTGATATAAAAAGATTGTATTTATTTTTATTTTGATATAAAAAGATTGTATTATATAGTGGAACCATGATTTTGAAAATCATTGGATGTGGGTATCTTATCAAATATAAAATTTTAGCCAATCTAATTAGAAATGTAAATAAATAATAATAAAGAAAAGATAGTTGCAAATTACACTTCCACAACTTAAAAGATGTGTGTATCAAATCTTCATATTGATTTTTTAGGCTTATTTGTTGAATTATGGTATTAATTCTCAATGAAATAGGTACAAATGGCACACATAGCACCTTCAAATCATTCTTCCAAACCATACGGATATTATTTGTTGGTTATATAAATAACAGGAGAACCATTTTCAATTTTTCTAAAAACTAAAGCAGAATATAATTTAAGTTGGAATTATTTTTATAATAAAATTCTTTCAAAGAAATAATAGGAATGTTGCATATGCATGGGGTACTATTCTATTAGATTTGGAATTGTTTGATTGGATCTTACTATGACTTGGTTCTACGAGGATTAAACAAAACCACGTTTGTTTGGAACAAAAACGACATAAAATAAAATCTACATTATCCAACCAAATATCTTTTATAAATCAATTTTCATACCAAATTTTGTTCTCTTATATCATTTGATTCTTGATTCTTAAGCAACTTGTATGATTTTGTGTTAGAAAATGACTTTGTACGATTTTCTTATTAAATGAATTTTTATATTATAAATGGATTTATAATACTAATAAAATTTTAAAAAAAAAAAAACCTTTAATCCATAGTGAAAAATAGTTAATAATTTAACTATTTTTTAGATTATGGATATGATATAAAAATAGCATATTTATTTTCCTCGCAACGATTATGAATTTCACGTGAATATAAAATTAGCATAAATGGGGCAGAGGGGAAGGACACGTGGAAGTGTTTGATTTGAAGAATGAGAATCCCAGTTGGCCCAGAAATTCCAACACATTGCCGTGTCTTCGATGGACAGTTTCCCATTCCATAAATACACGTGGAATAATCTCAAACGCCATGCCCACGTACGCTTATTAAAAAAGACAAATTTTAGAATGTATTTGGTGAGTAGAAAATTCGAGAAAATAGAAAAGAAAAAGAATAATTTCTTTTATCTTTTTTTTTTTTGTTGGCCCAAACGTATGATCGTGCAGGCAGCCAAAAGGAATCGTCCGATTCGGAATCTTTTTTTTTTTTTTGTCGATATAATTCTTCTTAATTTAAATTCCGACATTATTTGTCTGAAATGCAAATTAATTTCACATTTTTGGGTAGAAAATAATATTTAGAAGGCGTGGGTTTGGTTTGAAAGGTCGTGCAGTGGGCGGCTCTATTTCGAAAGATAAAACAAAACGAGTGGGCCGGCTGACGCGGCGGAATGTGCGGCGGAGAAGAGTACCCACTTATGAATCACGGACATGTCCTTCCTTCATCGCCTTCCATTTACATTACTTACCGTCAAATTTGGAGGGCCTACATGAAACATCCAGACCCGCTGCCCACAACAACCACTATATATTTATGATATAAGATCATGTCGGTAACATAACAGATGTATAAATTAGCTGAATTCTCTATGTTAATTAATAGCAAAATTTGGCAATTACTCATTAATATGGACATCTCAGGGAGCCATGAAAATAAGACAGAAAAGTCGACAAAACAGCGATTTTGGCGGCTATTTGTCCGAGTTTACAAGAATGTCAGACTCTAACCCCACGATCTGGCTGGCCTTTTTTTCTTTCTTTTTTTCTTTTTAAAATTCAATTATTCATCCTTTTAATATTTAATCCACATTTGTTTTGTTGTTATTAAAATCCAATGTACCCCACGTTCTTACATTTTTAGATTATAAATCACAAGTCTAACCCTTCTCCCAAACCATGCTTTTCAAACAACCAAACCCCTCCTCTTTTTAACTTGTTTTTAAGTATTAGCAATTCAGTGAATGTTTATATGTATGTTAGTTGAATTGTATCTTAAATATGTATATTATAGATATACATATTCACATATCAAACATAGGACGAGATTAAAGAACCTTCTTATTTTCATCTTCATAAAATTTCCATCATCTCCATAAAATTTCCATCAAAGATATTGAATTGTTGTTGATAACAAATAAATACTTCATGAAAGATTAAATTTAAAGACTTCCATACACGTATATATATTAAATCATAACACGATATTAATTAATAATATTAATGATCCTAGCAAAGATATCCTCAGGACTAATAATAATGTTCCAACTTCATTGGGTTAAAAAAAATTATAATCTTATGAAGAGGATATTACACGATAATTATTATATTTTTTATATCTATTGAAAAAATATATATAATTTTAAATTATATTTTATTAAAATGAAAACTATAATCGAAACAAAACAAAATATATTTAAAAAGGAAGCAGCCAATCCTTAAGTATTTTATTTTTTTCATTAATCTTTTATATATAACTCAATAAACATCTAAAATTTAATTATATTTGGTTAGTTAATTAAGTCATGGAAATATGTTTATATAGACGAAGGATTGAAACCTCATGTACTTGTAAAGTATTCAGTTGTATGCTAATGATATAATGACAATAATTTTTTATCATGCTAATTAAGGACTATAATTTTAAAAGAAAATTGATCGGTACTTTAACAATTATAAAACCTAATTATTGCATGAACCTTGGCCCCATCTCTGAGTTGGAGTCTGCTTTCTCTGGGTCCCACAGTGGACTCTTCTTCAATCCATCATAAAATTATATTTTAAGACAAATTAAGCTTAATCAATCGTTAACACAAATTCCCTGCAACTCAAATTATGTTATCACATTGCCATCACAGCGTTGGGTATAAATATCCCATTCATCTTAATGCTCCTTCAATTTCAAGCGTCCCCCAAAAAGACAACAACTTTTAAATCCCCCCACAAAAATGGAGGCTTTGGGAGGTTTTTCTGATGGGGAATGGGAGTCTTTCGCCGCCATGTTCTCATCGGAGGAGGTAGATCAGTCCCATATTCCGATCGCGAATCATTCCAGTCCTTCCACTGAGCTTCAATTGCCCAACAATGGCGGCAGCAGCTGGTTCTATTCATTGGACGCTTTTGTTCCCAATTTGCAGAGTTATTGCGTCAAACAGGACACGAGGAGCTGCAGTAGCTGCATTACTACTGATAATTCCCATGCTGCCTTTTTGTTTCCCAACTCTACTGATTTCTTTACGCCAATTGACGAGGGGAATCTTGGGTCCTCGTGTTTTTCTGATGTTTTAATCGAGGAAGTGGATAAGGCTCTCGACACCGCCGCCGCCGGTGAAGACTCTAGCACTGAGAGATTCGTCGAGATTAATGTAGTACAAGGTAACTACCCAGCACTGCCGCCGCCATCGCAGCTCGTAGATTCCACTGGTGCCGCGAAGGAACCAATGGCACTGAAAAGGAAAGTCAATAACGAAGATATTTCTGATAATCAGAACAAGAAAACTCGGGTTTCAGCAGATGTAAGCCCTCGTTCCCCTAACGTCTTAAAAGTTTAAATGATACACAAAATGGACTGAATCCATGTAGTTGACTAATTTGGAAAGGAACTGGTAAATCAAACCTGAACTTACAAGATTAACCTCCGACTTCCATTCGAAAAGTTAATAGATTGGGTAAATTTTCAGGGGCAGAAGAAGAAGAAAACAGAGGAAAGAAAGAAAAATGAGAAGAGAAAAGGGAAGAGTGTGGAAGAAGAAGGCAATGCGGGTGGAGCATCAGAAGGGCAGTGCTCCATTAGTTACAGTTCCGATCAGGAAGAAAATGGTTCACAGGAGGGCCAAGGCGCCACCTCCGACGGCGGCTTGACCAGGAAGGGCAGAGCAAGCAGAGGGTCGGCCACAGATCCCCAAAGCCTCTACGCTAGAGTATGCATCTTCTTCCTTAACTTATTTATACCCTTAGTGTTCATACATTCTTCCTCTGTGCGATCAAATTAGTGAGAGATTATTGAATTTTGTTGCAGAAACGAAGGGAGAGAATCAACGAGCGACTAAGAATGTTACAGAAACTTGTTCCCAATGGAACCAAGGTTGATATCAGTACCATGCTTGAAGAAGCTGTTCATTACGTCAAGTTTTTGCAGCTCCAAATCAAGGTAAACAAACAAACCCAACATTTCCAAAATAACAATAAGGAACAAATTTAGTAAAATGCCATTGTTTCATTTTATGCAGTTATTGAGCTCAGATGAGCTGTGGATGTTTGCTCCTTTGGCATACAATGGATTGGACCTTGGGCTTCACCAGAAGCTCTCTCCATTTGGATCACCTTGAGAGACATATTTGTTTCCATCTTTACCCTTGTAATGTGCAATTAACACCATATAAATTTGATTAAATTCAAGATTTAGATTATTTAGAGGCTTTGGAGCCCACTACAAAGTAATGCAGCCCAATAGTGATCCAGCCCAATAAGTAAATCCAGCCCACTAAGTAAATCCAGCCCAACAACCGTGATTGGGTAAAACGATGTCGGGATTAATGATTGGAAGGGCAGCAGAAGTGTGGAATTTTGACCTCTCAATGCATGCGTCTAGTCGGCCCCAATATCTTATCGCATCCCTTTTTTCAATTCACATATAATATATATATATATATTTTTTTTTAAAGGCAACCTTTTGCCTTTTCTTAGAAAATAATAATTAAAAAGGGAGGCGAGAGATGAGTAGAAGTGAGAAGGAACAACTTTATGCACTACTGCTACTAACTTCAACTTATGATTACATTAATTTATATGGTGGACATTCCAATTTCTTTTCCCTTCCCTAAACTTTATCGAAAAAGCCCCATCATTTTTTCTACTCTATATTCAATTTATATTATATTCTTTTTTTCCACCAATATAAATCTCACTTTTATTTTTATATTATATTCATCCATAGTATTAAATCTCTCTAATAAACTATGTTATTTCTTTTCTTTTTATTTTTTTCTTAGTTCACTATCGCAAATTGGGCCTATATTAGTTCAAAAGATTAAAAAGATTTAGGACCCTATAAAAAAAAATTAATATTTAAAAATAAATTCTTGACCAAATTTTTTTAAGTCAATGAATTTAAATATATGGGTGAAGTTGTAGCAAAAAGTTGAACAAAAATTGATTGAAATGGATTGTATGATATACATGCATGAATCAATGTTATGGTGAGAAATTATTATGTCCAACAAAAGTAATCTTTAGAGCAATCATCCTATTCCATTTTTCCTTCATGCTCTCACCATTTACATTCCATTAATCAATTACACTTTCTCTTCTACTCCTTATCCATCATTTTTTACTTTATGTAGTCCATATCTTTTTAATTATTAAATATGTAAAACATGACATCTTTATTAAGTATGTAAAGCGTGAGTGTAGTGGGGAGTAAGGTTAAAAGAAGGTTATTAAGTATGTGGCGGATGGAGTCCAAACGGGACACTTATCCATAAGCCTTTGAGCCACGTACGGTCGTACCCTAAAAGCATTCCTAGAACGCTCGAAGGCGCCAACCACCACTGCCACCCCCAACCCAATAACATCACTTTCACTCTCATTGTTTCTGTCTCTCATGGCCTTATCTTCAACTCTCTTCTTTTTCTCTTCCCATTTCTCCTTTTCAACTTTAATGCAAAACCCTAAACTCATTCTCTTCCCATTTCTCCTTTTCAACTTTAATGCAAAACCCTAAACTCATTCTCTTCCCATTTCTCCTTTTCAACTTTAATGCAAAACCCTAAACTCACTCACTCACAAGTTTTGGAGTCATCAACCTAACTTACACTATACACACCTTACCTTGCATGCTCACCAAGCTAGTGCTCGTGTCTATACTTGACCGAGGACATCACATCCTCTATCACGATAAACGTAGACATACCACGAGAATGAATTTTGTCTTTCTTAAAAAAAAAAAAGTCGCCATCTCAGCTACCAAGAGAGACCATATATGTGTTCCCAATTTACACTCTTTTTTTAAAAAAATGAAATATAAATAGAGTTAATAGAAGTAATGAGTTTGAAATGAAGGTGGGTTTGGTAGAATCTTTGGAGTGTCCAAGTTTGAAGAATATATGTGAACAATAGATGAAAATGATTAATGTTGGGGGTGAGCAACAATGATGTGTGGGTAAGTTGAAGCCAAAAGGTAGGGATCTTATCTACAACATACTGCTGGTCTTAGTTTCAATTTTATCTTCCAACACACTGCCCAAGATGTTGATGCCCTCTTTTTCAAAATTCCTTTTTTGAAAGTTGTTTTAGAAAATGATTGGGTTTCTTCTTTTTGCAACTTAATTTCAATTAAACTTAATTGGAAACAAAGAGTTTGGATGCGGAAACAAGAAACAAAAAGAAAGTATAAATTTCTTTTCCTCTTTAGCTTTCAGGGATGAACAAAGGCTCCATTGAATCAGATTCCCCTCACTGTGTGGGCCTTTCAAATCCCCCATTAACGTTGGCAGATCAAGATTCCATCTTGCTCCTCTGTACCTGAGTTGTTTTGGTTGTCACTACTAACCAAGCCTCATCATAACACACATACCCATCACCATCTTTCAAGTGCGATCCCATTCACTGTGTCTTATCCACAACTCCCTCTGATCATCTCTATTTTTTTTTTTTAAACATATTTTTAAAATTCAGTAGCATATTAGACACACAAGTCAAAGTTTACGAGTTTGATGCCTAAATTTGTAATGTAACCTTTCGTTGCATCTATGATAGTGAGAATGTCGTCGTGGCCGCTATATGAAAAGAACCTTTTAATCGTCAACACATAAATTATAATGTTCTTCGAATCCTTTCTTCCCTCTCGTCTACCACTTCAAGAGTCGTCGTCAAAATAGGACTCGAATGCAAGCTAATAAAACAAGAAGAAAAAAAAAAAAAACTAGCTACTTTTTTACTAGGATTATTCTATTTAAGGCTACATGATTAAATTCCAAAACCTAGATATATTTAAGATTATTTGTTTTAAGGTTTTGAGCAAATTGTGTATTCTAATGCTGATGAAATTTAATTGATTTTTTTTAAGTTCGATTAATTAAAATTATTTTGCATCTTGGACTCCTTGGAAAAATTTGTTTTCCCTAATTATTATTATTTTTAAAAAAAAAATTCCATGACAATTCATTTCTTTCACGTTAAATCATAACTTTCTTGCATTGAAATTATTTTTAACTATTAATCTAAATTATTACCTATTTTTTTAAATATCAAATTGAGATAGATTCTTATTATAAATTAATTAACTAAAAAAAACATTTCCACATGTACTATAGACTCCAAATTATTGATAATTTAAGCAAAGGTGGTCCCATAAATTGTCGGATGGCATGCTTGAAGATTAGTCAACTCTATCTCTTGATGACCATAAATAATAAGATAAGATCCATTTTTAAAATTGAATTTAGAAAGAAAAGAATTGATTTCAAAATTGGAATTAGAGAAATAAGAAAGGGGCAAAGCTAATGTAACCGCCCTCCACCATCAAAGAAAATGACAGCCAATATGGAAGGAAGTCATTCATTTTTTTCTTTTCCTTTTTCTTTTTCTTTCTTTTTAATTATTTTTCTTTTTCCATTTGGGCAAGAGGTGAAAAAGTAAAATCATGCACAAAGCCCTTCTCAAATACCATCGATTCCCACTCTAATTAATTTTTTTTGTTAAACAAATCGTACAATTATAGAAATTAAAAGCCTAATGTGAAACTATTTATGATAAAATAATAATAATTAATAGAAAATTAACTCACATCACTAAAAATGAGTGAAATAAAAATTAAAAAATAAAAAGAGTAGAATAGACATAATCGGTCTTAGTCGCTTAGTTTCGAAGGAATATTGTGTTTGTATTCATGCCAATAGTGATATCCTAATTCAGCTATATCTCAAAAGTGAAACTATTAAATAATGTATGATTTGTCCTTAAACTTACAAAAGGATCCATTATTGGAGTGCTGTGCCTCTTAATTAAGAGCTTTAAGAGGCCTTGCCTCCATTTTTTGTAGTAAAGATGTAAAATTTAATGTACTAGTTGTTTTGTTTTTATTTATTTTATTTTAGAGAAAATTATATTATAATTGAAAGAAGAAGAAAATTGAAAAAATAAAGGGGAAATATTTTGAAACCCCTATAAATAAGAAGTAGATACACAAAAGGAGGGAAGTAAAAGAAAGAAGAAGGCGTGAAGTTGAAGCCCCCACCACAATACCCAGAACCAGAAAAGGACTTCAAAGCCATTTATTTTGTTTTTTTATTTTGTGAGACCGCGAATCAGAGTAACACAATTAGTGAGCAGCAAAGGAATCCAAAATCATCCATGGTTAACAACGCCCGTCTGGATGCCCTCAATGTCCGTGTCCTGGGCACCGGCGACCGCGTCCTCGTCCTGGCCCATGGATTCGGCACCGATCAGTCCGCTTGGCAGCTGGTTTACCCCTCCTTCACTCCCTACTACCGTGTCATCCTCTACGACCTTGTCTGCGCCGGCAGCGTCAACCCCGACCACTTTGATTTCTCCCGCTACACCACCCTCGACGCCTTCGTCGACGATCTCATCTTCATCCTCGATTCCCTCGAAGTCCAACGTTGCGCCTTCGTCGGCCACTCCGTCTCCGCCATGGTCGGCATCCTCGCTTCCATCCGCCGCCCTGAACTCTTCACTAAGCTCGTCCTAATCGGCGCCTCCCCAAGGTCTACTACTTCCACACTCCACTCTGTTTTCAAACTCTGTTTTCCCCTCTTCTTAATTCTCTTTCCTTTCTTTCAGGTTCCTCAACGACGGCGACTACCATGGTGGGTTCGAGCAGAGCGAGATTGACCGGGTCTTCGCCGCAATGAAGGCCAATTACCAAGCCTGGGTCAACGGCTTCGCCCCTCTCGCTGTCGGTGCCGATGTTCCCGCCGCCGTCCAGGAATTCAGCCGAACGCTCTTCAACATGAGGCCTGACATTTCCCTCTTCGTCTCCAAGGTCATCTTCAGCAGCGATCTCCGGGGAGTCCTCGGCCTCGTCAAAGTCCCCTGTTGCATACTTCAAACCGCCCAAGACGTGTCCGTTCCAGCCTCCGTTGCCATCTACCTGAGAGACCACCTCGGCGGCCGGAACACCGTGGAGATGCTGGACACCGAAGGCCACCTGCCCCATCTCAGTGCCCCTCAGCTACTCGTCCGCAAACTCCGGCGTGCCCTTGCTCGGTGAATCTCTTCTCTGACTGGCCCCACCGCCATTACACGGATTTAATTATATAAAAGAATTTAAATTTCCTTTCTGGGGGTTTCGGTGGCGTGGGTGTGGTGGTTGTATTTGACAATTATACCCTTCCGCCAAGTTTGATGGACGATCAGTCGCTGGAAATGGAAGAAATCGAGTGGTCCATAATGAGACACGTGGGCGAATAAATATGTGGAAGCTAGTTAGTCTTTCCATATGTAAAAGGATAAGAATTCTCCACGTCAACTCCACGTGATCATGTATCCTATCGTCCCACCCCATATCTTTACTTCTTTTACATTTTCTTCTTTGCTGTTTTCTTTAACCTTTTTTTTTTTTTACCCTTACGCTAAGAAATAAATTCGGGATGATTTTCATTTTTTTACTTTTAATGCCACCAAATGAGTAGGGATTTTTAATCTCCAATATTGGCCGCTACTTTCTTATTTAAATATTTGAAAGCGACATTATTCATTTCTAAAACATTTTAAATTAAAATAAGTTATGTTTGTATTCATTGAACCCTTACCCTTAAATTATTGATGAAAATAGAATTTATATAAATGGAGAAATCTATGATGAAATGGAAGGAGGATTAAGTTCGAAAGCGTGAGAGATGAAGAAACTGTTGTTGGTAATGCCATGTGCACGAGTGTCGGTGCACGAGCCTGCACATGTGTATGAATAACTCAAATTTCCTTACTAATCGAACCAAACCCCTTCGTTCAATTCTTTTGTACTACTAGTTTGTCGTCATCCTTATAAGGATATTTAAAAGAAGTAACCTTCAAATTATATTTTTTTAACAATGAGTTGCTTACAACTTGAGCCACCCTAGGTCATTTAATCCAACCTAACCCATCACCCTCATCGGCTCGGCCCAATATTCTGTTAATCCTGCTGCCCCGCCTTCGGCTCGTGAACTTTATGGACCATAAGTAGTTGGGCCTATAGCCCGCAAAAAGTAGGCTGACGAACCCCACTCCAGCCCATATCATCAATAATTGTTCGAATACAACAAATTACCCTCATGTAGGGATGGAGACAACCAAATTAATAATTATATAGTTAAAAATGTCAAATTTATGAAAATAAACCTTCAATTCAATTATGGGGTGATTCAAATATATCAAAATTAAATTAAAACATTTTCTATAAATCAACTAATAACCCCAACAAATTCCACTTCAAAAATACTAAAAAGGTAAAGGTCTAGTTTTTTAATACAATTTGATTTTTTAAAATTAAACTTATAAACAGGTTTTCAAAATTCATGTTAATTTTTGAAGATATTGTTTAAAAAATTAACTAAGAATGTTATTTGAAGAAAAATGAAAATTATTGTATAAAAATTAAGAAGAACAAAAAAAGCATAATTTTAGAAGTCCGATAATATAGGATATTGACTTGAGAGCTTTGAAAAAGGATGGTGGAATGAGTGATGAGTATGTAGAGTTGGGAATGGTCAACTCTGATGGCTATTTTCATTTGACTGCTTCCCAACCCATTCATATTTCATTGTCCTCTTTTATTGTGTATTATTTTATTGAATAAAGTGATTTTTGTCCATTTTTTTAAAACTTGCACAAAAATAGAAACAAATTATAAAGAAGAAAGGCGCGTCCACACATTTGACTCGCTCAAATCCTCCCTTCCCCCATCGGCCATAACCATTGGGCTCTTGTTTTTCCATTAGATGGACTCCACACATTACTAAGTTTTCAGCCGATTTACTTTTAGGATGGGAAGATAATTATTCTCTTTATTTATTTATCTACTTTTACTCTATTGAGAGGACTAAATTTGTATGATCATTAATTTATAAATAATAAACACTATCTCTATTCGTATTCACATCGTACCTTTGAAAAAATTTAAAATAAAGTCACAAAAATTTATGCTCAAAATTAGGGAGATTTTTGGTTCAACCAGAACAAGGCTCTCATGAACAAAGGATATTGACCAAACTACCTAAAAGGTCATTAAATTCCTTTATTTCTAAATATGAGTTTTTTTTTTTTTTTTTTTAAATGGTTGTTCAAGATAGAAGAAGATGTGAATTGTTAATTGAGTATATCTCACTGGAATTTCACATGTTAGAAATTAATAACAAAATAATAATAATAATAATAATAACAAATAACAAAAAAGAGGGGAAAAAAATAGAATGACACAAAATTTATATGGGTTCACTTCGGTCTCGAGACTATGTCCAATCTTTTGCAAGTTTTGTTATGATGGAGGCTATAAAAGGCCTTCAAACTCGAGCTACAAATCTCTCTTCAAATAATCTAACTTGAAGTATTAAACGAACTTTTAAATATTGGTAAAAGGCTGTTTGGATGAAACAAAAATAAAGTCATGAGAGCTTAATATCATCGTAATATTGTAAAGATGTATGAATGGTCCATGGTCCATTATTCCTAAAAAAGGGTTGACTTAGTACCTATGGCATAGATAGATAGGGTGACCAAATAATAACATTGACTGAGACATACACATCCTAATCCTAGTCTTTGTTGCCAGTCTTTTATATTTACATGTATTGTATTTAAACTTTTTATTAAATGATTAAAAAACAAATTAATGGACAACAAGAACTATAATGGCTCCTTTCCCTCTTCTTCTTCTTCTTCTTTTTTTTTTTTTAATACAAAAATTAGTTACTTGAACAAAATATTTAAATGTTGGAGACATAAAAAAAAAAAAAAATCTGATTAGGTTGGATATGCATAAATTCTGTAATATATATTTTATTGGGTGAAAAAAAAAATGAGAATTCAAATCTCTATTGAGATATGGGTTAAAAAAAAAGAATGTAATTAAGGTTAAAATATGTAAATTTTTTGGGAATGGTGGAGTGGAGTTGGAAGTGTCAAATGGTTGAAAAGACCCAAAGAAATGGTAGAATTCAACCGCTCAATGTGTTTGGACCTAAAGTCCTAATATTCTACACATTTTTTATTTACTTTTCCAAAGTATGTGAAAGGAAAGCTCTACCAATGTGCTTCAAATCAAGTGGGCTTATAATTTATTTACGATTAATTAAGTGGCCTACTAGTTTATTCTACTTATTTTTCACTTTATTTTTTGCCATCCAATTTCTAGATAATAATATATATTTTAAATCGTGTAGGGCTAAATTTGTTTCTCATAATAATTGAATTCCTCTCCAAGCCATTCAAAAAATTTCCATTTCAAGTCATTGGATCCTATGCTTATTTACCAATTGTAGGAACTTTGTTTGGTTTGGTTTGATTTGATTTGATGTAAACACAAATTTTGACCCAATCACTGATTCACACGTGCACCGGTGCCCGGGGCGCCAAACTTGGTTGTTTGAATGAACCAAAATAGGCGCAATAATTAAATAGATTTTTCAATTTGGCTGAGAGAGAGGGAAAATAAAGTAAGGGACATTATGATGAGGAGGCTTCCCATGTTTGGTTCATGAGGCACACCACACATGTGCCCCATGTGGAGGATATAGCTAACAATTTACATTCATTCTTCAATAATTTTCCTTATAAAATAAACATATCTTATCATATGGTATAAAATTGATAATGTTTTTAAGAAAAAAAACGATACTAGAGCTACATTTTGTTAAAATTTGTGAGTTCTGCCAAAATTATTGTGTAATTAGTTTATGCATTAATAATATTTAATTATTATGTAACGCTTTCATGATCCATTTTGTAATAATAAAAAAAATTGGACGCTAAATTGAAACGGTAAGGTAAAAGTAGGTCATCAGCCGTCAAGGTTGGGGTCCTCGATGACGACATGTTGGTCTCTGTATTGTATTGACCCAAGGATGTCCACTCACTCATTATACGACACGTCGCCATTACCATTCTCCTTTTCTCCTCCGATTCAATCATCATTCATCAATACAATACCTCTGCCTCTAAATGCTACACCTACTTGTCGGTTACTGTTCTTGTTCTATTTCACTCGTACCAATTAAATCCTTAAAACATTTACTTTCATTTTTCCTATTTTTTTTAATATATGCATATGCATAATCAAAATACATCCAACCGGGTTGTCTTTAAATAACCTATATCTTTGCACCCGAAGCACGGTATACCCGTGGACTCTATTATTTTTATTTTTATTATTTTATAAAAGCGAATAAAATAAGAATGCCCCACCACCGATACAGCCATCTTTTTAAAAAATAAAAAATAAAAAATAAAAAACAAAAACTTGGGTTTGCCTCTTTTCTTCTTCCTTTATTCAGATTTCAAAGGAAAGAAAGAGATGGAATATTAGGCTTGTGGGTGGGTTGCCCTTTCTTTATTCCATTTACACGTATTATAAAATAAAGCTTTCAAATTATTAAGAAAAAAGAAAGTAGCTCAAAACTCGGATCAATATATCACAACACGAACATTAAAGAAAAGAAAAGGTTGGAAAATATATATATATATATTTACAAACAAAAACCTCTCTCCACTCATCTCTTTCCCTTTCTTTTTTTGGTTTTTGGTTTTTGTGTGTTGGGGGTAATTGAGATGTCTTGTTGTGTGGGGGGTTGCATCGTCCACGTGGCTGGAACAAAAATTAGACACACACATTTGAGGTGGTGGCAGCGTAGTTGCCGGATCTCGGTTGCCGTAGCAGCTCTATCAGTTTCTCCGCCTGTTCCCAATTTCACCAACAAAAATAACCAATTCTTTCAATTCACAAATTCAATTCCATTCATATTCATATAATCAAGTCTACGCATTAACATTTTGCACTAACTCTGGGTGATGGGATATGAAAATATTGAATATGAATGAACACTAATAAAATTGACGTTTTTAAAAGTTGGATACGACACTATAAATTTGAGTTTAAAACGGAGGCACCCAACCAATAATCACTCACATTTTTAATGTCTTTGTTTATTTACTTTTTAAAAAATAAAATTAATATTTTTTTTATAAATAAAAAAATAGAGCTGGGAAGCAGACTGACGTGGCCGAACAGCGTTCTCTTCCACCTCAAAAACCAAATCCCATTTATTTTTTTCTTTGGCTTAGAACCCATTGTTTCTTTTTTAAATTAGGAAAAAGAAAATTGAAATGCCATGTCAGTTGTGCCAATTGGCCGGCATGAGAATAACAGACGGAGGTTTCGGCCGGGAATCCGTACCTTTTGCTTGGCGCGATTCGTGCCAGACTGTGACAAGGCGACTAGCGGTGGAATTGCTCCTTCACGAGCTACCATTGTACGGTAAAGGACACTTTCCTCGCAAATCTGCAGCAAAATCACCGCCGCGATCTCCTTCTGCCGCTGCGTTCCGTCCTCCACTAATTCCACCAGTACTGGGATTCCGCCCTCGTCTACCAGAGCCGTTCTTGCCTCCGACATCGATACCAACACGCTCAACACGAACGCTGACTTGTCCACCATGTTTGACCCGAAATCGGCCATCAATTCCACTAGCGGCCTCATGATTCCCGCTTTCACCGCTCTGATTTTGTTCTCCTTAACCGAGCACAGCGAATACAGAGCCGTCGATGCATCCTTCTTTCCGCGAAAGCCACCGTTGCCCAATAGATTCACCAGAAGTGGAATCGCTCCTGACCGTCCGATTGCTATCTTGTTCTCTTCCATTTGCGAAAGCCGCAGTAAAGCACAAGCGGCGTTCTCCTTCGCCGTTGAAGTTCCGGACATGAGAGCTCTAACCAGAGGCTTAATCGCACCAGACGCCGCTATCAGCTCCTTGTTCTCGTCGTTCAGCGACAGATTCAAAATCGCCGTCACGCCGTACTCTTGAAGCTGAGGATCCGTACACGATATCAGCGAAATCAACGGCCTCACTGCACCGGCTTTCGCGATCCTTAATCGATTCTCGGGTTTGTTCTTGGCGAGGAGTCTGATCTCCATGGCCGCCTGTTTCTGCTCGTCAATCGAACAGGACTCGAGGTCCAATACCAGCTGCTGAATTAGCTCGTCGGAGTTATCAGAAGCACAAGAAATCAAAAGGCGGCGACTCTGGGACGACGCCATCGGGAACTCCCCGGATCTATCGCTGTTACAGTCGCTAAAAGCCCCAGAACTATCGCCGTTGGTGAGATCATCAAAGCTCCGCCCCATGTAAGAAAAATTGACGGGATTCTCCGTCCCCATCTCCAGAATTGAACAAAACCCCCTGCCTGTCTCAACACATAAAAGGAAAAGAAGATACCCAGGGCAAGATATGAACCGGAAATTAAAAAGAAACTCAAAAAGAGAAAGAAATAGGAAGAAATCCTGAAATTCCAATATCCAATAAGGAATAATGATGATGGAGAGTTGGCGGTTTGAGTTGTTCGAGCCAAGAGAAAGAGGAGACTGGATGGCTGAGTTATGGGCGAGTCTGGAACTCGGAGGTCTCAGAGGGCTGGGGGGGGGGGGGGGGGGGTTTTATA